CGCACAGGTTGTCGAAACGTCAGTCACTGTCAACAACAACAGTCCTATTCAGGACTACGTTCACCCGGACGATCAAACTCAACCTACTTTTGAAATGACTCCTGGGTTCAAACCTTTCACAAAAAAGATGTAGTTTGCGAAGTCTAGGCATCCACACAAACTGGACCTTTGGATAAATGTCACTAATTAAATGAGCAGGTAAAGAGGTCTGCAAAAGATAGGAATGGTTTTGTTGCACTGGTTGGTTGCATGTGCAGTTGCTAGTGCAACTCCATGGTAACAGGTTTACAGTCTGGAAGATTTTAACTGTGCTGTACTGTGCGTGCTCAAATCCTTTGCAGACAAGTCTTCTATGAAAATTTATTCATTAAGATTACAGGTTTGGGTACTGCAGGTGGGGCAATAAGCACTTCTCTCTATTACTAACAGGGCTTACCTAACAGTCAAAGTAGTTGAATATTAATATTGTGACTTACCTAAACAGATGAAGCCTGACTGTGGATCATAGAATCTCTCCAGTAAGCTGATGATTGTAGACTTGCCACCTCCAGAGGGACCAACTAATGCAACAGTTTGTCCAGGCATAAGCTCAAATGACAATCCCTTTAACATAGAAGTAACACTGTACATCAGGCTACAAGAACCTTACCTGACTGGGATAATTATCAATTTGAACTAACATTCACACAAATTTTACCTTAAGCACAAAATTTTCTGGTCGAGATGGGTAGGCAAAACACACATCTTGAAATTGCACAGCTGTAAAAAGTTTACGAAAGTTAAGAAATTAGCATCAGGATAAAACTAATTATTATATTAAAGGAATACTTAATTTTATTATTTATGAGCAAAAAGAATTAATTTGTTCAGTATCTAATTAAAGCTTGTACAGAATTGTGGAAGCAAATTTCAAGGCTTTTTCTGGGCTCAAGGTTACATAATAAGTGATTGTTTAAAACCTTAACCCATTCACCCCTGACGTGTGGGTGAATTTTCTAATTTTTGCTTTCTGTGCATGGCTGAACTTCGCAAGCTAATAATTTGCATCAAGATCAGAAGGTCGCAAAGTGTACGACATGTAAATGGCTTTACAGTAAGTTGTAGCTCTTTATAGCACAACAGTGACCAGACAACCGCTTGCCTAGCGTCAAAAGAAATTTATCACCAAAATTTCCAGGGATGAATGGGTTAATGAATGAAGGTACCAGACTAGTAAGAGAGTTCTGATACTTCTCATGCTGCAAATGAATGTTTTGGCCACAAGATTTGACTACTGCTCCATATTTGGAAATCAAAACAATTATTGAGCTAAAATAATGTTGGCTTTTTCCAGGTACAGAAAACTGGTTAGCAGATTTCAAGCCCTTCTTGGAAAATACAACACCCTGTGCTAACAATGAGCATCTCTTCCCTCTTCAGAGGAGCAATAGGGTATATTGGGATCTGCTGCCAGAAAAGAGTGTAGACAAAAAAGCTAAAAGGCTCCGTCCATTTTAACACCTGCACCCACTATACTCAGAAGATACTCCACAAGAAAATACACTTTGAGCTTCTGCAGTCGATCTGTGGAGTTCAGTCATGACCTCTTGCTGTTGTTCAGCTTCTACTTTTCATGAATAATACAATCATCCATGATCACTTACTCTCACTGATTGATGACAATGTTCGTCCTCCTTCCATGTTGATGGCTGGTAAACGATCCATCAGCTCAAACATACGTACTGAAGCACCTACTGCCTAAAAAAAGATATTATAATGAAGCACATGGCTCCGTGAAATAAGATTTGTGTAATTAAGAGGCTGTGCTTATTAGCTAGTTTTTAATATTATTTAGGTCTGCTTAAGGTCTCGGTAAAGGAAAACGAGGTGCCCACAGAAAAAAAAAATTCTAGTCTTGAGTATTTTTCGCTACAAAGGCAAGTTATATATCAAATTAAAGCTAAAAGACTAAATTACCTTATAAAGATTTTATTTCATCGAATTTCAAAAAGGCGCTTAAGTTTTTTTGCTCTCGAACTCAGAGGTATCGATTTTACTGCTGAAGCTCCAGCCCTTTGGCGTTGTTAAATATTCACTTCCTTTTTTTATTGCATCTGATTGACAGATAAAAGACCTAAAAAAGGGTGTGAGGAAATTTGCATATGTCTCGTATTAAGCGGAATTATTGCATTTCAAACTAAAAAGTGGAATCTCGGCGCGATTTACGCAAAGAAACTGACATAAAATGAGTTACAAAGGGAAATATCTGTCAATCAGATGCAATAAAAAGGAAGTGAATATTTAACAACGCGAAAGGGCTGGAGCTTCAGCAGTAAACTCGATACCTCTGAGTTCGAGAGCAAAATACTTAAGTCCCTTTTGAAATTCGATGAAATAAAATCTTTTTAACCAACTGCCTCGCTTAAGTGGAAGGTGGGTGCCTGGGATACCCAGGGGCTTCCACTGTGGCCAGCCAGCCCCTAGATAGAAAAACTGCCCCCATGGCTGGCAAATCCCCGCAACCCAGCCATGAGCCCCCATTCCAGGCACCCATCACACTGATCAAACAGTGGAAGGAAGAAAAATAGGGATGGGAGGGGGGGAAGACCCTAAATGAACCGCTCCACAGACCACTGCACAAACGCTCGATGAACAACTCGCAGATCCTAGCCATGTACAAAGCTACCACACACCATGTGAGCCTGCACTTATGGGATTGACCGCTGGATGCCCGCTACGCTCGTGGGCCGCTTGACCACTAAGCTTGTAGACCGCTTGACCGCTAAGCTTGTGGACCGCTAGACCGCTTAACTTGTGGACCGCTCAACTGCTAAGCTTGTGAACCGCTTGACCGCTATGCTTGTGAATTGCTTGACCGCTACGCTTGTGAACCGCTTGACCGCTAAGCTCGTGGTGGTTAACTTAGTTAAATTACATTTAACCAAATTATAAGGTAATTTAGTCTTTTAGCTTTAATTTGATATATAACTTGCCTTTGTAGCGAAAATACTCGCGCGACTAGAATTTTTTTCTTTGGGCACCTCGTTTTCCTTTACCGAGACCTTAATGTGAGGTGTTTGCCAAAAACTGGTTCTTATAGAGCTTATACATCTTATCAAGGTCAAAAGTTGTCACAAGCTTCAATCACATGGTGTCTGTATCCATCTTTTGGTCATTTTGTTGATTTAGCCCATCAGTACTAGGAATGTTGTTACCTTTAGCAGCAGGTCAAGCTATTTTCTGGTCAATATTCAGCCAAAAAGAAAAAAAAACTTTGTTTTATAAGTTTCAAGAGCACTTAAAAGTGATGTTGAACTCTTTACTTTTACCCTTTGCTTTCTCTCCCTTCAGGTTACTTTTCAGTTGTTTTTCGTTTAGCATTTTTTCTCCAGCATTTTCAACTGAATAGTGCTCATTTGGGGATAGTTTGAAGTTCTCTTTCCCCTGCATAAGTTAGATGTCAAAGTTGCCTATGACCATAAAAATGATGACTTCAATGGCAGTAAAAGGGATATCAATCTGCCTGGACAGTTACGGGTGGTTCAGGGGTGAATAGGTTAAGTGAAGTGAAAGAACGATGAACTTCCCTGAATTTTACTGCATTTTGCAAAGTAACACATGATATGATTGCAAAGAAGAAAATCATATTTGAATGAGCCAAACACACGGCCATCAGATTATCTTTATTAAGATTATTTTCTGCAGTCATACTTTACTATTTGCACCTCTCCCATAATACATCTTATTTGCCCCCAAAACTTTGCATAACCTTTGCTAATTTTTCCTGGGTATTATGGCCATCCCAAGAGAAATAAAAGAGAAGGCTTATGCATTTTTTTTTTTGGGGGGGGGGGGATGTATTATGGGAGGGGTGAAAATGGTGAATAAATTTTGTGTCGTGAAATGCTCTATTTTACCTGCATGAAGTCACCATACAGAGACGATAAGAAGGCAAAAGCCATGGCCACATTAAGTGTGTACAACATAAAAGCTAAAAAAAGAGAAGAAAACAGAAATGAGACAGTTACCTAAATTGACATGAAATCAGTACTTTAAAATTCATCTGTGATTTTTACAAAGCTGATAACAAGAATAATCTCAAAACTACAGTTACCTGTAAGGATACCAACATCAAGCTCTTGTTTATTTACCAGACTGCCTCCATACCACAGTACTAACACAACAGCACCCTGAAGTAAACCAGCCACATCAACCATTGATTATATAATACAACATCACTTAACTGACCACTTGTGAAGTGTCAGTAAACAGAGGCACAATAGACTGCTAGACGTCTGTCAGGATTGCAAGCATGTTGGGTAATTGTGAAGAAGAGCTCCCCAAAAAACCTGTCGGTCGACACATTACCGACAGTTTACCGACAGGCTACCGACAGCTAACCGACAGGCTACCGACAGTTTCCCAAAGAAGAAAATTGTTGAGAAAACACGCATTAAACATGACATAGAAACGATAATAATCTCGATAGACATCACTTACTTACCGATCGATGGTAAAACGATTTCTTCCGACATGTTTATAGAAAGCTTTTGAAATGCGAAACGGATATATTATTCGCGAAAGACGACAAGGCAATCAATGAAATCAGATTTAGAGGTGATTTAATCCCAATCTCTGAAATCCTACAAGAAAGCTACTTTGGAAGCTTCTCAGTCGTGTTGCTTGGCTTCACGTACAAATCGCCCGACAATGCCTAGCGAGCGCCATTAAAGTTTGATCCGCGCTTCTACGAGTGAAGTATCTGGCATATTTCACCTCACACAAAACGGCTCCTTTAGGAGCCACCAACACTATGAAAGTCAATGACCAACAATAAAGTTAAAATAAATAATGAAATACAGTACAGTCCCAATTCCTCAAACTCTCAAATAAAAACAAAAGTAAATGACTGGCAATGAATAAAAAAAAATACGTATAAATACCCGTTCAAGACTTGACTCTCAGATAAATTCGAGAGGGACTGGGATATAGTTTACCTTTCCAACATGGCGGAAAGAAAATTCGAAGCTGCAATTGCGTAAATTCACTGGTTAGTTTCGCTTCCGTGGCGCTAGTCTTGAGCGGCGATTACCAAAACTAAGAAGAAAAGGCTATTCTTGTCAATGTATTACACATTTTGGATGTTTATGAAGCGAAAACCAAGAGAAAACATTCAAGTTTGTCATAACGTTTCACCAACAAGCTACCGACAGGTTACAGACATCTTACCGACACATTACCAACTGTCGCCCGACTGTCGGTGGGCTGTCGGCCGACTGTCGGCCGACTGTGGGTCGACAGACGGCCGACAGTTGACCGACAGTCCACCGACAGGTTTTTTGGGGAGGTCTTCTTCACAATTACCGCATGTTGTGTGTGGCAAATGAGGAAAATCTACAAGAACATGGAAAGGGAAGAAGAAGTAGCCGATGGAGAGAAAGGGTTGGTAGGATTTTATTTGATCGTAGGCTGCCTTTCCACTGCTCTCTTACTTGGGTACGGTCCTGCATGGATACCATGAGAACCAATCATGCCTGTGACATAAATTCAAAATTTAACTTATGCATCATTCACTACTAATGCAGAAAATAGGAAATGTTATCAGACACCAAGCACATGTTGTGTTTGCCTCTTCATCACTTTCTTCAAATAAACTTGGCAGCAAAACTTACTGATTTAAGGAATGCCCATTGATCGTGCAATAGCAAAGTTAGATGTGAAACTACTGACAACAAAAATGGACTTGACAGTCATCTCTTTCACAATAGCTGTCAACAACAATTGGTGAAGACAAGGAAATAATTGATAATCAAGATGCAGTCAAGGTCGAATTACAAAAACTTTCTCACCAATTACCAGCTTCTCTAGTGCTTTTCTTTGTAAATATTTCAGGTTTTAAGCTCAAACCACTCCAACGCACGATCTCACACCTCATGAAACAGCACCATCACATTTGGCTTGTGAAAGCTGCTACGGGGCTGAGTTGTTCAACGCTGGCTTAAAATAACCCAGGGTTAGTGTGATAGTTGAATTCAGATTTGAAAGCTTACAAAGCATTGCAGTTTTAATTCTTTTTGTCTACATGCTGATCTGAAAATAACAGAGAAAATTATCCCAGAAAATGCTTTTGAACAAAAGAAAAATAAACCCAGGTTAAATTTAAAACCAGGGCCCAGTTGTTTGAGGGCCGATTAGGGTTTAACCCGCGTTTCTTTTACTTTTCTTCAAAAGCATTTTCTTGGATAATTTTCTCTGTTGTTTTTAGAGCTTCCAATCATCAACTCGTAGACAAAAAGAATTCAAGCGGAAATGCTTTTAAAGTTTTCAAATCTGAATTCAAATCTTGCACGAACCCTGGTTATCTTAACCCAGCTTTGAACATCTTGGCCCAGATGGCTTATGATGCCTAGTCGTCCCAGTCACAAAGAAATAAGTAAAATGAAAATAGTAGCTAGACTGATACAATAAAAATAGGCATAAAACATAGACTTAGATAAGAGTAATAAAAAACCGCCGCCTGGTTAGCTCAGTTGGGAGAGCGTCACTATGCCGAGTGGGAGGTCAGTGGTTCAAACCCCAGTCAGACCTACACTCAGGGTCTTGAAATAACTGAGAAGAAAATGCTGACTTTGTAATGACATCTGCAAAATGGTTAGACTTTCTAGTCTTCTCGGATGAGGACAAAAAACTGTACGTCTTGTCTAACAGCACTTTCACTGATTTGTTCTTGTGGGATGTGAAAGAACCCACATCACTATTCGAAAAGAGTAGTGGTCGCAGACTTCACTGGTCTGGCCAACCTTTACGGAACGTGGGATTGGGTAGGGATGGCACCTTGCATGTGACCTGAGTCTCGCTCGTGCACATTCCCACTGGGCCGGCCTGTGTCCAGAAAAGCTGGTAAATAAATAAAATACTATTGCTACATACCTGACCTATAATGCCAACAACACCTTGAAATAACCCTGTGCAGAAACAAAAATAATTACAAAAACCCTCAAAAAGTGAAGGAAACTTAAGAAAAATGACTGTTATCACTCTAGCTATTTATGTTTGAAAAACTCATTCAATTTGAAGTTAACCAATCTTCAATACCATACAGTAAAAGCCCACATATAAGAAGCTAGTGATTTAAGACCCTACAAACAGGCTGCAACTTGGCATTTTAAATATTAAAAAATATAAGAACCTGTTCAGGCTAGAAAAGAAAAATAGGTTCCTATACAAACAAATCACTCCAATTTTGATGGTTGATTAATCACCTCTGTTTGTTAAGATTTTTGATTTTTACTGATTTACTAGAAATCTGTTTTCCATAAACCATCATGTATTAGAAATCAGTACAATATTTCTGCTAATGGTTACACTACGACAACCTCTGAAAAATAAGAGCCTAATCAAACTGAATTGTGAAAATCTACCCTATAATATAAGAACCTGTTCACCCTGACCTCGAAAATTCTAGGCTCTTAAATGTGGGCTTTTACCGTAATTTTTCTTTGGATGCTTGAAACAGGTCATGTATGACCCCATTCTCAGGATTTTCATGGGGTCATACATGAACTGACCTTGAAACAGTTACAGGTGGTTTTGTCAAAAAATCCTTTAAAGATGTAATAACTGTAAAAATGCTAATATTTAGTACATACCTGATGCAAGAGCCAGTTTTGCCCCAACCTTGTAGCTCTTATTAATCTCTTTTTCATAATTATTCATGGATTTACGTTCCTGAGAGAATGCCCGTACAGTTCGTATATTGCCGATTGACTCCTCAGCTGTTGTTGATGCCGCTGCTAGCTCATCCTGAAATTTCTTTCGTAATCCCTGAACAAATCGTCCTACCCAAAACAATGTAACAATCAGAATTCACTTCATTTAACTGTAATGCATGATAGCAGCTAGTGGGATTTCTGGGCTATCATAACAAAACTGATTTTTTACTCGAAAGAAATACATTCAGAGGCAGCCAGATTTTAGGCAAAATCTTAACCCATTCGCTCCTGGAAATTTTGCCGAAAAACGCGTTTTGAAGCTAGTCGAGTGGTTTTCTGGTCACTGTCGTGCTATAAAGAGCTAAAAATTACCACAAACCAGTTTACAGGTCGTACACTTCGCGGCCTTCTGATCCAGATGCAAAATATCAGCTTGCGAAGTTCGGGCATGCACAGAAAGTAAAATTTCGAGATAGTTTTGGGTTTAAAAGTGACACAGCAGTCTTGACTTTTACTTTTCGCTTTCTCTCCTCCCCTCTTTTTTCGCTTTTCTTGCCTCGTTTTTTTTTTTCTCTTGCTGGGCATTTTGTAGGCTTCGTTTGGTGGGAAGAGTTTTTAGGAAAGCTTTTAGGATCTTAGGATTAGGTGACAGGAAAGCTAGGTGAGCAATGGAACAAGATTTTCATGGAGATTTTCAGGTCAATGTCACATGGTTTTTTGCTTCTTTCTCCGGTGTCCTTGACTGAATTGTGCTCATTCTGGTACTCTGCACAAGTTAGCAGACAAAGTTGTCCTTGACCGTTAAAACTGATGACGCCACAAAGGGTAGAAAGGACGCGGATCCACATGGGCGGTTACAGGCGGTTCAGGGGCGAATGGGTTAAGGACGTTGACATATGGTTGCCAAAAATCTCTAGAGCTTCCCAGAAATCCTTTCGCATTAGAACTAGTAGAATTTGGAATTGTTTAGAGGATGAACTAGATTTGAGCCCATCGACCTTAGCTTCCTTTAAATCGATTATTTTCAATTATTATAAGTCCACGTTAGCTGTTTCCTATGATTGTAAAGACCCACGTTTGTTCAAGTCTATCTGTTTAAAATGTAATAGTTATCGTCCCTTGTCTCGTCCAATAACTTGTTGTACATAGCTGTACTTTTTCTTGTATCGCCGCGTTTTTTAATATTTCTTGTTTTTATTTCTTTTATTAGTATCCGGGCCCGCTGTAACTAGCGACAGCTGTTGCGGTGTCCCTCCCAACATTCTTTCTTTCTGTTTGTTTGTTTGTTTTTTTTTTGCCGAAGCTAATAAAATAAAAATAAAACAAACATTTTCACAATGTCAGTGGCTTCACAGATTTTTCTCTGCGGTATAGGGAGGAGGTTTCTTGGTGAGATTTTGCACGCTGAGACTTTGACATCTCTCACTTTAATTTGGATCTCTAATATACCTGCCAACTCTCACGCCTTAGGCGTGAGTCTCACGCCTGCGGGTTGAAAACTTCGATCTCACGCCGGCTCACGCTTGCGGGCCAATTTCTCACGCCTGATTGAAAAATGTAAGTTGTTGCCGTCTTGCTTGACACAATTTCTGAAAATATGTTAATCTAAACATAAACCTTTTGGTAGGACTTTCATTTAGTGCTAAGAGCTAATCTTTTTTATTGCTACACCATTCATACAAGCAGACAATTAAACACACCATACTGCTGAGCTCCTACTCCAACAATTGGTACAACAGAGATAAGAACTCCCGTTAACTTGGGACTGAGGGTAAACATAAACACAAGAGAACCAATGATCTGAATGATGTAACGCAGCAACATTGATATATTCACCTGTAAAAAATGAAGAAATCACATTATAACATATAACACATTTAAGTGCTTGCATTGATTGGTCTAATTATAAGTCATTTACTCTTTGCCAATGGTTGAATGCTGATGAAACCTAGTGTGTGCTTAAAACCGTCAACCTCACTTTCTGTAATATATTAGGTTCCAGACCTTTTATATTTTAGGGCAGGGGTTGCACATGTGCAGTGGCACATGGTTCATTTTGTGCTGTTGTTCAAGACCTGAATATCAAACTTTCTCCATTATTTCATTCGTTTTTACAAGAGAAAAGGAACACCACAGTTAAGTACAAATGAATAATAATGTCATGAAGACTTTCAGACTCCTTTGTCATGTTTATGTACATGTTTTTCTAAGGCAGGTACAAAAGTTGGACCGGATCAACTCGGACCGCCAGTCCTGGTCGGATCAACTCGGATCGACTTGGACCAACTCGGATTGAATAAAAAAATAAAAATAAAATAAAATTGGACTCGGATCAACTCGGAGCAATCAAAACAATTAAATTAATCAGCAAAACTGAAAGTTTTACCCATTTGGAGGGTAAAAAAGGCCAGATCATCCTTTTTTCTCCGTGGCTTTCAGGCGCCATTTTGCTTTACCAGTGCCAGTTCCTCTCGGATCATGTTATAAACTCGTGGTTGTGGTTGCGTTACACGACGCGCTCTCCTTCACAGATATGGATGACCTCGAGGAAGGTAAAATCTCAACCATCTTTCTCAATGAATTTGCTTCATTCCAAGAAAATGATAATTCCAGTCGCCTAGAATATATATTTGCTAATTCTTTTTATTTTATTGCAGCTTTTTGTCACAAAGCAAAGAAGTTGAGGTAAGCGTGGTCATAAGTTATGCGCATAATTTTTGATTAATAAGTGTACTGAATTATTTATGAGAAAAGCATCAAAAGCCTGGTCAGTTAATCGTATTTAGATAGTTACCGAAGAGTGTTTGTTTGTTTTTTCTGTAGGACTTCTGAAACTTAATTTTAATGATACACTAGTGAGCAGCGCACATACATTTCCAGTGAACATTTTCAACTTGGAAGCAGGAGAAACCATGCTCGCCCCGGACAGGAAATTTCCATGCCCCGGGCAAGAATCAAAATTGCAACCCTCCGGTTCAGTGGTTGGAGCGTCTGATAAACATGTGGTATTCGGAGCGTCGTGAGTTCAATTCTCGCCCGGGGTACGAAAGTTTTTGTTGTCCTGGGCGAGCATGATTTCTCCTCCTTCCAAGTTGAAAATGTTCACTGGAAGTGTATGTGTGCTGCTCACTAGTGTATCATTAAAATTAATAAAAATAAAAATAAAATCAATTTACGCAACCACGAGTTTGTGAGAAAAAAACAAAATGGCGGGTGAAAGTTAAGTGATACCGACTGATTTTATTTTTCTTTTTATAATCCGAGTTGTTGTTGTTGAGTTGATCCGAGTCCAATTTTATTTTATTTTTATTTTTTTATTAGATCCGAGTTGGTCCGAATGGATCCGAGTTGATCAGACCCGGACTGGCGGTCCAAGTTGATCTGGTCCGACTTTTGTACCTGCCTGTTTTTCTGGGCTTAATGCACCGTGCACAACATTCACTGGGCAATCTTATCCTTTTTTGATCTTACTGACCAAAAAAAAGCAATATTCAACACCATCAAGAAATTCCTAACATAAATTGCAGCTTCGTAGTTTTAATCTTTGACATTTTCTGTCTTTCAAAACCAGTCTCCTCTACTATGATTCATCACTTACTGTTAATGCATTCTGGATAACTTGAGTATCTGATGACAGTCTGTTAATAAGCTCCCCAGTACTAGAAAAAGATAGAGTAGTAGGACAAATATTAAATCCAATTACAAATCTGATCTTGTACTAGGAGCAACTATGGCAGTTTTAACTCTTTTCTGATGGTCAAAATTCGACATAAATCATTTGAAACAGTGTTTTCTACAAAATTGTCCACATGAGCCCTCAAATTAAATAAAAAGTACAGATTTCTGTTTCCACAAAGGTTGTTGATGCTAAAAATCTGTAAAAATATGGCTCGAACAGAGCACAAGTGAGAGAGCACTAAACGAAGGCTCACCTTCTGGCGTATTTTCCTTGAAATTCTGCCATACAAGTCCTTTACAAAGTTTGGGGTGTGTTCGAAGGAATATGAGAAAAAAACCAATATTTCTGGCAATATTTTGTCATTTTTCATGAAATAAAAAGCAAATTCATGCACAGAAAACGTTCTTTTCAGAAAGTACGTCATGAAAGACAACCGCTCCCCACAATTTTAACGCTGACCAGGTGAACGGCTCTGGGACATATTTCAGTGTACCACGCTGAGTGGCTTCATCAGAAAAGAGTTAAGAAACCAATAAATTAATAACATACAATATTTATTACAGTTTATACATTACATGTATGTTGCATTTCTTGTTTTTTGGGGGGGATTGTGGCCAAGTTTCTTTCAGATTGCTAAATTGCTTGCTTTGAAAGACAAAGGCTTTCAAACTCTACTTTCCCAAAAGACCTCGCGCATGACAAGTTGAAACACTGAAACAAATTTTCTCTGTAAATGCAAAAAACTTTGCATAACATGGTGAGGAATATTGAAAGTAACTCCCTTATTGTCTCAGCCTGATGAATCAGCTTCAGAAAATTTACATACATTGAGCAGTCAGTATCAGGAAACACTGACCACAGACTGCAGACCATGAAATGCGGGTGGGTATAAAACACAGACTAGGTATAAAATGCGGACTATGGAATACCTTGGTAAAAACTGTGCTAATAGGTTCTAGGTAAGGAAAGGTAAGATCAAAAGATCTTTAAATATGTAACCCGACTAGTTCAATCGATAAAACTGATAATTGATAACAATTGATAAAATCGATAAAAATTAGTTAATATTATCAGACATCAATAAAAATCGATAAAGGGATACGTTGTGAGTGATCGATGATTATCGATTTTAAAATTATTGTTATTGATTTTATCAAACTTATCAAATTTATCCGTGCAATAAGTTTCCACATATTTAAGGCAGTGAAGCATCAGAACTTCCCGAAAACCAGTCTAACAAAAAATTACTCTTGTAGGATAAGTTTAAAGATTTATTTCACAAATCAAATATTGAACAAATACATAACATGACCGGTATTAATCTTAACATGATTCAGCGGAGAAACAAAACGTAACAACTTCTTCTTGCATTTTACTTAGAAACTACTCAAGTTAAACATCGTTGAAACATTGTACAAGGGTAGTACAGTGGATGTACAATTCTGGGTTATGAGCGAGCAACGTCTTAAGACGCCCAGATAGAACAGATGTAAGCCCTTATTAAACGCATCGGCAAAAACACAGCTTGCTTTTTAAACGCTGTCTCGGGAGAACCAGTATTTTGCTGTTACAATTGTCAACTATACACGGTCCTTAATGACAATGATAAAATCTATAAATCGATAAAATCAATACCTTAAAAGAGCAACGATGGTTGTGAGTATCGATTTCTATTCCCTTGATCAATAAAATTGATAACGTTTAAATTTGAATTATCGATAGTTATCGATTTATCAAACAGTTTTCCAATATCAATTTTTATCGATTGAACTAGTCAGGATATGTAAACATGTGAATTTAAGTTATAAATGTACTCCTAGACTTTCTTGGTGGAGGCTAGGTCTGCCGCCCAGCAGCCCTCCAAATCCTGAGTCTGACCAAAATGCTACTTTCTACACCCACTTTTATACCTGGTCTCTAACATCCATGACAGGGGTCACAAACACAATGTTCATGTTATATTGTTACATAGGTGTAAATCATGTCATCATTACTTAAAGAATATAAAGTTGGATGGCATATTTATTATGGTTATTATTCATGTATAGGTAAGTAATCCTTTCCCCCTAAATACAGCTTTTTTGCATCAAACCTTCTCATCTGGGTTCATCATTTTCTCATATCCCCAAGGCTTTGAATGGAATTGTGGCATCTATAAGAATTTCACTCTCACTAACACCAATATTATTTTTGTATTCAGTGCCTCTCAATTTCGAATCTTCTATAATTGGTTTAAAACTATAAATTGAATTCTCTTCTTTAGAACTCCTCCTTGCCCGTGCAATATGTTTTCCTTCTCCACATGACACTGATGTTGGGGAGAATAGACTGCATGACAAGCCAAAGGAATGTTTGTGTGTGAGGAAAAGAGCTAGGACTACCATTTTATGCAAGTCCACTATCAGTTTATCTCAGTTTTACCGTTCCAAAGCTGTTTTTATATATACAGTCCATATTCCCCGTCTTAAGCTCAGTCTGTAGTTTCTAGTCCTTATTTTATGCCTAGTCCATGCTTTATACCCAGTCTGGAGTCCATGGTCCGCAGTCTGCAGTCCCTGTTTTAATTATACTGACTGATACGTTAAGTGACTTGGAATCATCAACATCAATAAAAAATAGAGGCTTTAGAAGTGCATCAATATGATAGATCAAGAGCAGCAATCCTTTCCCTTCACCCTTTAAAGAGTAACTGATCAAATACTAGATGCACAGATTGAGTTTTGCTAAGCAAGGTTGGTTCTTACCGATTATTGTCAAAAAATGCCACTTCTTGACGTATAATAGAGTTGAACAGCTAAGTAAGACAAAAGCAAGTACATTAAAGTCATCTGAAAAGAACAGAACTTTGTACTTCAAACCTACAGTAGTAAAAGTAAAAGTAACTTTGATTAGTAAAGGCCAACACACAGATGACTCGTTCTGCCTATTTTTTGTTTTGTTTTAGCACCTCTTTCCTCCTCCTTCTTTATGCTGGAGCATTAAGAAATTGATCAGTGGACCAGATAAGAACGATAGCACTGAACGACAACAAACATGTTGGAATGCAAAAAAGGTGCTAACTTTTCTATTGTCTGTACTTACTTCTAATTGGCTTAAACAGCAAAAGTTAACAAAACTTCATAAAGCAGTACATATATTCATCCTTACTTTCCAACCATCTTTGATATAACAAAATCTGGTCTCAGTTTGAATAACAAAGAAATCCTATGTGGGGAACATGTAAAATTGTAAACTTTTCTTGGCTATTGTTTTCAACTCTTGTGATTGGTCAAAATCTTTTAACACAAAAAAACACCCTTTCAAAGTGGAGTGTAAATGCAGTTTATTGCGTAAACAGCCTTCATGTAGGTTTATGCATTCTCTGTGTAAAAATGAGAACATTCCTATGTGGGGAAAGCACCGTCCCCGCATAACAAAAGAAATTGCTATCCACCTTACCCGGATCATTACTTAATAAGTTTCATTCTTGTGCAAACAAATAAGCACCAACTTGTTAACTTTAAGTTATCATCACATAATTATAGTTGGCATACTTACCTGTTTTCTGATGCGAGCCACAAGACGTTGCCCTGCAAGTGTAAACAACCATGCCCTCATACATGCAGCTAATGCACCAGCAAGATAAACCAGTGACAGGATGACAATAGTGTCATTCAGATGTGCTGGAAAAAAGTAATTGCTGGCATGACTATCATCATCTATTAATCATAAATTTCCAAGAACCACATTAGAGCATATTTTTTACTTGTCAAGTTAACAATGTACAGTTACTTATTTTCATCAGATTAATAACAGTCCCTCAGTATTGTCATGCAGTCAAGCAAGTTACGTGTGAGCCAGTAAAGCAAATAAAAGAGAGAAGACTGTATTCTCTTTTCACCGGCATGGAACTCTGCTCACCAAATGTGTGATCTGGCTACTTTCTGTTTGTTGCCCCTTTAATGTTGTTGAAAATGCTCACTATTTATTCTTGGGTAAAATATATGGATGTTGATGTGCAAGTTAAAGCAGTTAATGGGAATTTGCCAAAGTTTGGTCGTCACTTTGTTTTTCTTTAACAAAGTTGGATTATTTATTTGGATGATCGTTGGTCAATTGCTTTTAAACTAAAAGTAGCTGCTTGTGAAAACATACATGTAGCAACATTCTGAGTGAGCAACTTTATTAACATCTATGGTCACACATTCATCAAGAAAATGTTTGTTGCCTCTGTAAAGTTCCCATAGTAGCGACCCCCCAAAAGTAACGTTCGTCAAAAGTTTCTGACTTCTAATAAATCCCAAAACTAGCAAGCACCTGTAAATAGCGAGTCCCCAAAAAGTATGAGACTAAGTTTTCTTAAAGGTCGAAGAATAGAACTGAGGGGCAAGCTAGTACAACTCGTCCGGACACCATGGCCTACACCATGGGGTGAGCCATGGCCTACCCCATATTTTGTCCTTACCTGTCCCTACTATGGGAACTTTACAGTACCAAAGCCACAACAACTTTTCCGGGCCCTATTGCTACAATTCCCTACCACTGTTCACTGTTCAACCCTCAAAGTTAAAATTTTTGTTCAGTGGCCATTTGGCGATCAGCTCTTTGGGTTTAGTCAGCAGGGGAAATTTTTAGGTGCCAAATTATATTAATAAATTAATATATCAAAATTGTCATTAACAAAGGCAGTTAGCACGTTTAACTTAAAATGCAGCACTGTCTATAAATTACTTGTTTACTGTGCAAGGCATTAGTTACTGATAGTCTGAGAATAAGGTTTGTAGATTCATCTCCTTGAATCAATACTGAAACAGAATTGTAAAGACAATTACCATTTCCAGTTGTCTCTAGGGCCTTCAATCCTTCTGTATAATCCCCAGTTGGTATATGAGAGCAGAACTTAACTCATCCTCTGTTAATGTGTTCAAAATTTCCCAGTCGCAAGTTGATAGGCGACCTATTTTTTTTTTCTGATATTTGTTTCGCATTTCTTTTGCGACTTTTGTTGATGATGAACTTGTTTCCCCAACTAACAAATATTATTGGAGGTTTAAAAGGTCATTTTTAATATCACTAGACATTGTGAAAGCCTGACAAAGGCAGGAGAGTATAGGAAGATCAACAAGTTTTCTAAATCAAATCATTGCTTTATAGAGGTAACATCGCGCACGTGAAAATTTAGCAACAACTTGTACTGGGAAAAAATGTTTTTCCCAATAAATTGAAAGGAACCCAAACAAAAATGCCGCTTACGAAATAATAAATTTTCTTTTTCCTTTATCATCGCTACAGGTGTTTAAACATTTTCGCAACAACCATAAGCTGTCAATTTTGCCATGTTTAGTTTTGCTTACAATTATCGCTTTTGTTTACAAAACCGCGATTCAACTCGCAGCACGGTTCACATGTTACTGTTATTACATAATGTTCTGTGTTGAATTTGCACCAATTAGCTTTCCCTCTCCATGTTATTAGATTGTCTCAGTATTGATTCAAAAATATTTATAATATGTAGTCCAGTTAAAAAACCACCGAACTTGGCTAGACAAGCATTCCTAAGATATCGAAGAAATCATCACTGTCGACAAGCAAGGCACTTTGATTGCGTGCCATTTGTCACGTGTCAAAAGTTAAAATGTCACGTGCAAGGCAACAGACTGAAGGTGATTAGGCGAACGAATGCAAGTCAAGTTTCATTGATGTTCATTTTCAAAACGCTTAGCTCTGAGACTTTTTAAGTTTTCAATTTGGCATGTTTTTCAATGGAAAAGTAAAAAAGTAATGGAATTCAAATCAGCTAGAATAAATGTTCTTCATATTTCAGTAGAAGTGATTACCAGAACTGTTTCTATACGCCACAACATGAACCTATTCTTCACGGTCGCCAGGTTGGCGACTATTCTCCAAATCAACTCACCAATTCCAAAATTTTAGGTGCCATGGCGACTAAAATGGTCACAACTTGGAGGGTTGCTGTTTAAACAATTTAGGAGATAAGTTAAGTAAAGTTACATTTGTATCGTTATCTTTTTAAATTATCATACAATGAAGAAAAGGTCTACCCGTACCCACTGTGTATACCCAAAATATTCTTTTTAATTAATAAAACAGTACTTACACATGCCCTTTTCCATTGAAGCTTTGATAACTTTTCCAAAAAAGTAAGGAGCAGTAATCTGAGCTCCACTTGATGCTAAAAGAGCTAAAGATGCAACAAAAAGCAATAAAAGCTCCTGAAAAAAAAACACAAGGCAAAAATAGAAATTACTTGACATTTGATTTATTACATTATAATTCACTGTCAGGGATCAAGCAATATTTTCTTCATTTGGTTTATTTTTTTCAGCATAGAAGTTGCATTGTGTATATGTTGTGGTTTAAATTTTTTCTTTACTCTAAATTTTTTAAACCAGTTCAAATTTTTCAGACTGGTTAGAAATTTTTAAACCACTTCTTTTATCGACTGTCTGAAAAAGCGGCGGGGCTAAAGTGCAGGTCACAGGTCACAGGCCAGGTCACAGGTCAGGTTACAGGTCACAGGCCACAGTTCAGGTCACAGGTCACACAAAAAAAACAATAGGACACTGGACAAAACTGTTCTTGATTGACATTTTACTATACAAAAACAAAACAAGCCGAGGAACCTCAATTATATTTTTTTCTGTTCTGAACTTTACCAAATCCCACACATGAGAAAATATATTCATGTTTATCACGAAAGGAGGACTTGCGTTACAGCATAACCAAAATTGGTAACGAAATCACAAAGGTACGCAAAATCACGTGAAATGTTAGAAAAATGAATCTCAAAACGAAGGGTTGTTGCATTAAGAATATCATGACGTGTTTGTGGATGTTTTGAAAAGCATTCGACGATAAAACGGAAGAACAAAGTAAGGACAGTCTAAAACTTATTTGACCACTGAAATACGGCAACTTTCTTCAGACTTTCCTCATCCTAAACTCCTCTTGCTACTAGATCGGTCTTCCATCTCTTTTGAAGATGGTGGCCTGCTGCTCGCGCTTCGTACCAGTCACAAAATACTGCTGTGTTAAAGTGTAGTCGGCTAAGAACTTCAGACACTGCTATTTGGGCCTCTCAAATAGTTGCTGGACCATATTTCTCGGCTCTTCTCCCAAGAGCTTGCCATTTTCTCACATTCTATTGCACAACAGCTTGAAAAACCTCTGTTGGATTTGCCTCGTGGCCCTTAGGTGGGAGCATTCCTCCATTACAACTTGAATCTTTGACTCTGTAAACTGCTAATGTATCAAAGGATCACAGTGCTGCATTTCAATGACTCGCTCCAAGTTATCTTGGCTGCACGGTTTATTTGGAGATGACATTCTAATAACACGACAACACTTCGTTTTCAGTGAAAAACATGTGATTTGTTTTTCATACAAATCACATGATTTTGCACACCTTTGTGATTTCGTTATGAAGTTTGGATATGCCGTAAGATCAGCAAGAAAATATTATTCCATGTGTGGAATTTAATATTGTTTAAAGGACAAAAATATCATCAAGGTTCCTTGGCTTGATTTATCTTTGTATAGTAAAACGTCAGTCCAGAACAGTTTTGTCCAGTGTCCTATTGTTTTTTTGTGTGACCTGTGACCTGACCTGTGGCTTGTGACCTGTAACCGGACCTGTGACCTGTGACCTGTGGCCTGTAACCTGACCTGTGGCCTGTGACCTGCACTTTAGCCTCACCGCTGAAAAAGTACCTTTCCTCTTTTGGGGTGTGGTTGAAAAATAAGGGCTTGGCTTTTGGCGGGGTTCTCATGTTCAAAAAGAATTAGTACTTAAATAAGCAAATTTTATTTTAACATTTCTTTTTCATCTCACCAACCACCCCTCCCTCCTTGTTCTGCCTTTCCCCTCCTATATCTAGCTCTTCCTAACCCCTCTTGCACATCAAGGAATGCTCTTTGATATACTTTAGAATACATGCATCATAAAATTGCTCACAGAGGGCGACGAAAAACTGAGAAATGGATTGCTGAAAATTATTCCAAAATAACACAAAAAGTTGTGAACACTTTTGTTTCTCTTTGCAGTTTTCTCTGCAGAACAGAAAACCATAACTGGTAAGTCCTCTTCAAGCTGAATCATTCCTTTCCTTTACTGAAGTTGACCTTAGAGATTTCAGAAATTGTCCATGTGAATGCGAAACAAAGCACAAGTGGACTATCAATATTATTGATCACCACACAAAGTTTGTCAATGTTCACTCCATCCATAAGAAACTTGCTGACGAAGTACTGAATGAAGTTCAAAAGTATTGTGTAACTTATAACCAGCCAAAAAATATAACAGATAATGGAGGTGAATTAGAAAACAACAAAATGAAAGCATTTTGTAGCACTTATCAAATCCAACTTCTCCAGGGAGCAGCCAGGACTCCCACAACACAAGGGCTAGTGGAACAGGTCAAATCGTACATTCAAAAAAAAAAAACACTTGATGATGTGCACATTTGGTCTCCAAATTTCCACATGGTGCAAGTACGCAATGCAAGCAACCTACATCATGAACATAACTTGTCATCGTGCTGTCAACATGACACCATATGAAGCAGTGTCTCACATGAAGGCCAATTCTGCGCCAAGTCGACTCGTCACAAGCTGTTTTTACCGACAATCTTTCCGACCGCTCTACGAAGGTAAGGGCCAAAAAATAACAATTTTTAATTGCGAATATCTCAGAGATGCTTGGTTCAATTGAGCTGAAACTTCATAGTATGTTTATTCGGTTCATATTAAACATATTTCACTAGAATTGAACTAAAATAAAAAATGTCGAACTTTTGGTTCATTTGACCTTTAAGAAAACAATGCCTTTTGTGTTCACAGGTGTGATTTTTTTGCTTTTGCTCAAAATATATAACCTTTTTCGCCTTTGGTGAAAGAATGAAAGACGGTAAATTTTAGGCTCGGTGAACAAATGTGAAGATGAAAACGAGCGTGGAACAAAAAAAAAATCGAAGTCCCTGACAGGATTCAAACCTATGACTTCCCAAACTTCAGGTGGGCACCCTATCCACTGAGCTACAGAGAACTCATGGACAGCAAGGCCATATACTAGGTTCATATATTTTTCGCCTTTGTTCACAAAGGTCAATGGCCGTAATCAGCGTCATTGGAAAGCGTGTTATTGTAGTTAAGGTGAACATCGTCAAAAATTCCACTTGCACCTTATAGCCAGGTATTAAATGACAATAACTAACTACAGAAAATTAACTATAAAAATAAGAAAAATGAAAACATTATATGAGGTAGAACGGGTCAAACATCCTTTTGAAAACCAATTCATGTACACTTCAATCTTTCCTTCAATCTTCCTTTGTCCTACAAATTAGTATATAATATTATTATATTCCACCCTCTGTGAACAGACTTTTCCTCACAGCTACCTTGTGATTATGTCTAACTGTGACACAGTTTAGGGGTGAGACATTGATTAATAAAGCCCACTCCATTAAATGTTTAAATTATAGGTAACAACCAATCAAATAACCAAAAGAGGAACTTACAGGTTTTGCCAGTGTCATCAGCCTCCTCAAATTCACCTTTTTCTTCTTCTTTGTTTCAGCATCATTTGGGACGTGAAGAATTCTTTGCACTTTGAGTTTCCGCATAGCAATAAAACTGCCTAGTGCACACAAGGCTTCCAGAAAAGTAAAAGCAACTGAGCTGATAGCTAAAGCATAGTATGTTGGGTGAAGCTTGTGTCCCTTTTCTGATCTAACTTCATAGATAAGAACACCTTTTGTGACGCTGTATGCAAGAGATCCAACACTCAAGAATATAGCAACAGAATGGCAGAAACATTTCTTTGATGCTAATTCTCTGTTATATGGTTTATCAATTTGCTTCAAAGTCAAGCTCTCAAGCCAAGGATAAACAAAAAACAGTATACCACATCTCAAAAATGCCATAGCAGCCAAGTCAAATACCGAGTCTCTTATCTTGAAATGTTCCACATTTTTCTCCATATAATCATTGTTTCCTCCACAAAGCCAAAGAGTAACAGATGATGTCAAATCAAGAAATAGCAGAAACTGCACCATAGTTGTATATCGCCGTGTAGGCAGACTGTAATAACCACTGTCTTTTCTGCCTTCTTCTCCAGATAGACCAGTTGAATTCAACTCATCCACAGAGGCTTGAATATTGTAAGAACCACTTTCTCTATTTCTGTGCTCCATTTTTTAGAGCCTGAAAGACCAAGAGCTTGGTGTCAAATTATCACCACAGACACACCTTATTTAAAAGGATGACGGCAATAATGGTCCAAGATTAGAATCTCATGAAAAACCTGATTACCCTTGTGCATCAAAGTGGGAATAAAACCTTCCAATTTTTTTTAAGTTTTGATAAAGACAAGCTAGCTAACGTCCATTGAAACTGCTCAAAAAAGCATCTTACAATTAGGACACTTACCAAGGTTAAAGGCGAGCAAAGATATTGCTCCATAAATTTGCAAAATTTTGCAGACATTTGAATGGTAGGGAGCACAAACTTGCCTTTGAACACCAAATAAACAACTGTAAAATTTGGCCACTTTACAGTGCTATAATATCTTCATTAGTTTTTAACAAACATGTGGAAGGGTTCAGTTTTACATTAGATCAGTTAAGTGAACTGTGGCCTTATTCCATGCACCCATTTGATTTGTCAAATTTTACTTTATCATGAGATCTCCGTAACTTGTCTTAAATATATCGATATTCATGAAGAAAAATTTATTGTGCTTCACCGATGCATTGGTGTATTATTGCAGCTCAAGAAAAAAAAACGCCAAGAATGCACTGAAACAAGACATGTATGCAGGGTAAAATTCCCATGCAAACCCTTCTTTAAAGACACTGGTAGGTTTGAGTTTAACCTGCATAAAAAGTGCATTTGTCCTCATATGGTACTTAAATTTCATGTGATCTGACTGAGCCAAGACATGCATGTCAGGGCTGAAAATAATTTCCAGAGAGTCTCCGGACACGATGACTGGCCAAATTCATTTACGCTCGGTCACATATTGTTTCTGGCCAGTCAAATTTATAAGATAAAAAACTCTTAAAACATCAAGGGCCCATAAACCAAAACTGGGGTTACATATTCCAAAACAAGCCTGTCTTCTGATATTTCGCGAGGTTGTGGAGCCGCAAAATTCAGGTTGAAATCTCACCAAATACAAGACAATAAAACATAATAGAAACTTATCTCAGCTTAATTGCCATAGACTTCATCACCACAATGAGCAAACAACATTCCAAAACTACCAGGCGTAAATTATGTTCCAAAAAACTGGGCACTAGTCATGATGTTTTAAAAAATCTGTCTCTGAAAATCCTGCGACGTAACAGAAGCCCTGAAAAAAGTTGTTGCTTATTAACTAATAGAAATGAAACCATTTTTAATTTTGAAACCGGAAGTGTGTGAACCCCAATGTCCCTTTCAATGCCCGAATTGTAAACAACGGTTCTAATTGCATTTCAGACAGGATTTCAGATTAAAGTTCTGCAAAACATATCTACTCTCTACATACCGATAACAACTGAAACAAGTGAACAGCATGGAAATTTTAATTTATTTCAGTTTCAATACGATCAAATCTGACTGATCAATATGAACGGCAAGTCCAAAGGTTGACTGGTCAACTCCCCAATCAGTCTGGACATTGTTCGTTGACTGGGCGTTATTTAGAGCCCTGCATGTCACATATGATGGTTTAAATAATACTCACTTTTACCCATTGATGATAATTGCAAAAGAGATTAGCTAGTTGGTATGCAGAGGTATTTTATGCTATATTTTATAAGCTCTGGGCTTCTACAACTTCGTAAGAGGTTTTAGGAGCTCTTAAAACAAAGGGACTTGCAAAATATTGTTACATACAAGGCTGCTGCCTATGAAAATTTTTTGAGAGCCTGAGCCACATTTCTAGAAGCCCACTAAACTTCAATTGTAATTTATTTGTGTAGGATGCAAGTAAAATTTGCATATGTCATGTGTAATTTGAAACCTATTGCTTTTTGCACATGCATCGCAACGTTAAAAGCATACACAAGCAACCTATAAACTGTTCTCAAGGCAAAATGCTGGGAAAAAATCATGATTTTGATACCGAAAGTTTTTCTAAGTCCATTAAATTCATTCGAGATATTTTTCTGACAGGAAACTTCAACTGCAATGCAGCGGAAGTCACAGAGGTGAATTTCAAGACAAGTGCTTGTTTGTTTACCTTTAACAGCCTAAAATTTATGCTTACGCTCGATGACCATGCGTTTTACGTTTTCCTTTCAAAAGCACCAATGAGGAGGGAATTTTCTTGTTCGTCCATTGGAAGTTGGCATAGAGGCTTTTGCCATAAGAATCATAAGTTTTAGGTGGCCCGTGCGAGCTCCTTGCTCAAAAGTTTAGTCTCCCACAAGCAAATTTTAGGAGCCTCTGGCGACCAGGCACCAGTTACATTGTAACTAGGCAGCAGCCATGGTATAGTAGTGGTGATCAAAATCCTTTTTAAATTTACATGCTTTTTTAAGCTTCAAAACTTCATAAAATTTGAATACATTTCATTACAAGGTAGAGGGAAGCTTATATAAGGGGGCCTTATATGACCAGATGTAATTTTTTTCTTCTTGTTTACAAGTATATGGGCCTGTATGGGGGGCACTTACAAGTAGCATAGCATGCAATCTGAAAATGATATAGCATTGCATGCAAACTGAACTGCTGGAGTTCCTTCATGTCATGAATGGCTTTCAGCTGATTTGACTTAGCTTATAATGCTGGAGAAGTCAACAACAAAAGCATTTCCCACCACTAGCAACAAAACCATTCAAAATGCAAACTCAGCAAAAAACTTTTTACTGTTTTGTCCACCAACAAAACTAAACTGCTTCGTCACAAGGTTGAAAACCAGTCACAAGGTTGAAAACCATTACCTATATGGGTATGTGCCGCCCAACGGGTCGTGATTTTGAAGCTCCTGATTTAGAATGGGGTATCCATTTCAGAATAGAACGGGGTATAATGCGTCCAGTCCAGTTTTGTAAGCAGCCATTTGAAATTATTTAAGGTCAGACTACGTTTAAAAATATGGTTCATACTCTTTTTAGAACTGAGTATAAAAATTGGCTATTTTTAAAGCGGGATTTTGGTTGTACATCAAACGCGTACGGGGTACGTCCCGGGCGGCACATACCCACCCAAAAAATACCCAAGTGCCCCCCCCGGGCTCTAGCTCAGCTCTGCAGACTGAGCAAGGTCAACTTGCTGTTAAAATACATGCACTACTAAAAGATGTAATGTTTTTCAACCCCGTAACTTCCACATCTCTTTCAGTTAAAGCAATTATAACAAACAAACATACGTTTTAAGCTAATATTGATTAGATGATCATGAACTCTCACAGATTGTCACGAAATCTACAAAATTGTAGTTTGAGATCAGGGTCAATCAGTTCGACTTTGTGTACAAAATGTGTTGGTCGAATTAGAGTTGAAGACCGCGCGAGTTAACTCACTGAAAAGATAAGTACGAACGGGAATACTCCTCACAAAATCAACCTTTAAAACAATCGTTCACGAACTTATTCTTCGTTCCCGCGTACAAGCACGGCACGTACCTTTGAACAATAAGTGAAAAAAAGAAACCCTTAATATAACCAACATGACAAGCTACCACAATGCAGAACCTCTGAACGGATTCTCAAATCAATTGTTTCCAAACCGGGATGAATAATTTACAACGTCAGGTATCATTTAAGTATCAAAACTAAAAAATGTACTTACGAGGACGACAACGTGCAGTCGAACCGGTGCCCAGCAGAATCCAAAAGCAAGATCAGCGAAAAAATAAACACGCGGCGCAAACTGCAACATGGGAATGATGGAACTAATCGGTGCAGGTGGGGGCGGGGCGGGAGGGTGGTGAGGAGAGAGAAGTTTCTTTTAAGTCTCTAAATTCCCAAACCTAGATTGCTTTCACACCGCTTGAGTGGTGGAAAGTCTAAGGCTGAGGCAAAACGTATTTAAACCCCGAAAAACCTTAACCGACCGACTTACATTTCTCTTTAACCGCTGGAGGCCGAGAGTATGCGCCAGCTTCATAATTAAGCGTTGTTTTCAACTTCTCTTGGAACGGCTGTAATATACGGGCGTCTGGAAAAGCGGGAATCCGGAATCCGGAATAGGAACGGGAATAGGAACAGGAACAGGAACAGGAACCGGAACCGGAATAGGAACCGGAATGGGAAGAGAAACCTATATAAAAGCAGGGACAACATTTACCTTAATTTAAGTTAATCTGGATTTAATTCCTGTTCAGATTATATACGAAAAATAAGGGAAAAATAGAATAGGAACCGGAATAGGAACGGAAATATAAACAGTGTATAGAATATGAAAAGAAAAAGATATAATCGTGATATAAATAAAAAGCCAGAGAAATAATTAAAGAAACAAGAAAACACCCTTGAAATGTTAATCTAATTAACCTTTCTTTATCTTTAGCCTATGACACATTGTGTTTTCGTGTCAAACATAATAGCGAACTTAAGCAACGAGAACGCTGACCGTCGCTTGATGGAACGCTTCTGTCTCACACAACGAATCTGAATTCTTCCTCTTACCTTCCAGTGTGCGAATTTGTTGAGTCAGAGCACCTAAAGACAGAAAACATCCACTTCCAGCCTCCATTTTTAATGTCCTGGACGTCAACGTTCTGCTTGCTTATTAAGGTCCCTATTGCATCTACCTATTGTTGAGGTAGATGAAGTACTGGCCGCTGAGATGGGTTTTGGGGGGGGGAGGGGGAGGAAGTACATGTTAATACCCTTTTTAAGCTGTGGACTATCTATCTCTCGTTAACTTCCCAATTTAGCACCGTACAATATATCTATGGAGCAAACCTGAGGTGTATGGCAGCCCAATAAACGTCTCCGATGGGTGTCTCGTATACACATGGTCTGACAAATAATATTAACATGTGATAGCCACCTTCCTGTGAGAGACAAAAGGAACCTTAAGATCTGACGACGGCAACGCCAGCGAAAACGCCACTGAGAAACTGAATTCGGGTCTTAATTCAAACTATTTCTCATTAATTCCAAATTGCCCAGTCTTTTAAAGGTTGGGAAATGAAGCTGGAGACCGCGTCCGAGCTCAGAAAGACACAATAAAATTTATTGCCTGTCGTTCACGTTCTTAAGAGAACTTAAGATTTGATCATTTACATCATAGTTGTGCATACGCGGTGAAGAATTTGACAGAAAGCGCGATACGATGCACTCGCAAAGCTGTTGCTTTACTTATTTAACTTGCGGCTTTTTCTACCTCCTTGCTGCCGTATTATAAAGAGATTCGGGGGAGCATGATACCAGAGTAGTGTTCTTATTTTTTGTATAAATTGAATTCGAATTAAAATAATTTAAAGTAAATGATATCCCTGTTCTTGTATCGGTTCCCCTTCACATTGCTGTTTCTGTTCCGTGGCTGTTTCCGGTTCCGGTTCCGGTTCCTGTTCCCATTCCCGTTCCTATTCCGGTTTCCGGTTTCCGGTTTTTCCAGACGCCCGTAATATACAGGAGAAATGAAATGTAAAAAAGAGTTATGCAAAATTTGGGGGAGAAATAAGGAGCATTATGAGAGATGTGCAAGGCGGGGTGGGTGCTTCCCAGGGCACCCCTGTTAGTAGAATTTTTCATTCAGAAGCTTTTGATACTGTAGCCTGCGTAGCTAGCGGGTTTTTGTGTGTTTTTTCGTTCGTGGTTCTTAAATTTAAAGAGATTCAGCCGCACGAAAGGTGAACTGAGGACGAAAAACAAAACTACGAGGGAATAACCGGCAGTTGTTCTCTGTCCTCCTCACCCGGGCCCCCTTCCTCATGGTTTTGTCAATTGACGTCGCGCGTTTTCTCGTTTGACCTCTTGCGCGGGTGTCTATCAGACACACAGAAAAACACACCAAAAATCCGCCACCCACGCAGGTGGAACGTGAGTTACTTTTGAGATATATAACACGTCACTCGGAAAACGTCTGAAATCCTTAAAACATGAACTTGGTGCGGTGCCAGATACCTACTAAAATTAAAGGAAGAAGGGAGGTATTATCTACTGATGGTATTTTTAACCCATAGCCAAATGTCAAAAATGCCTAATATTTTATCCTTAATGAAATGGTAGCATCAATGAAAGTGGAATCTTTTAGAGCAGTTGATACTTCTTCCCATTACTATATGGGTCTATATGTTTTTGGAGACTGACCCCTGTCCAAACTGTAGTGATACTGGGAGCTACTGGGGTTAGTGTACTGCCTACACTAACATCTTACTGCAAATAGAAGGCTTTAGCCTCTCTACATTATAATGGTCTACATTAATAACGGGAGTTAGTTCCATTGGAAGTATTTACAACTATGAATTTAATTAAGTAGCCTGTGAACATGTACTAGGGAAGAAGGGTGTGGCATGTCGTGTGGCACAGAAACTCTACCCCTTCCCATTCCCTTCATCTTCGCTTCTGCCCCGCTCCATGTCTACTGGCGCTTTATCATACTCTGTTCACAGGTTACATGGTCAATTAACACCATTAATTATCTCAACACTAAAAATTTCAAGGGGACCTTAAAAAGAGGTTCTCCTATAGAGGGTAGAAAATGGAGCTGCAAATTAGATTTAGTCTTCAGACAACTTTCACCAAAAATTGCCAATTCGCTTACAAACTTGTAACTGTGGTTCGAGATAATGTTTATGAAAAGTTAAAACCACCAGCTATTATTTTGTAGATAAATAATATCGACCTTGAGCACATCCTGTAAATTGTTGTACCAGCGTAATAACATTATTGGAGTGAATCTATCTCTCATGTGCTATGCAAAAATTTCATTGAAGACTTTTAATACATTCTTGATCCACTGCAACCATAAAACCGAAATTGCCAGTCAGTTGTGTGTATCTCCTTCCACCCAAAAAAGTGTTTGCACATCTGTAGAATGGGAGTGTATTTGTTTTTAAAGTAAGATCAGGCTTGTCACATTTCACCGCAGTGCTGGTATATAAATGTCACATGAGTTTTATTACCACTGGATTAAAGAACGAACAGAATGCAAATCGTGAACACCTATGAAGTTTCTTAAGCATTTCTAAGAACACCCCGTGGTTCTCATAATTTTATTACACAACAACGCTAAGGTAACTGTTTTCTTGATATTCTTTATTGTAAAAACCAGCATCTAAGACCCTAACTGCAAATTGACGTAAATAATGACACACCGAACTAATATTTCTTTTAAATTAGATCATCATGTGTCAATTTCCATATATATAGACTTATGTATATACCTATCTACACTCCTCTTAGGAGACGTAATTAACTGTACAGTAAGGCTAGGAGGATCTAATCAAATATTAGTACAAAAAAGAATAGGGACCCTAAGATCAGACAACAGCAACAGGAACGAGAACATAAATAAAGCAATAAGTTTAATAAGAAAAACAACAACTTTGCAAGTGCTTCACACCTTTTTGGTACATTTCTTTGCCATTTTTCCACGACAATGACGTGAAAATGTCTAATTTCATGTTTTATAGAGGACATAAACAAGTAAGGACAGAATTTTCTTTCTCTTCTTATCTTGAATAAGGTTCTTAGGAAGTCAAATTCAGGAGAGATGGCATACATTCAACAAAGTAAGCAAGATGGTGGCTTCGCAGCAATAATCACATTGAACACTGAAAAACCGCGAATTCACTTTTTAAGCAAAGTTTTGCCGGCCGTCGCTATCCTCAAATCTTAAGGTCCCTAATAATACAAGAGTCATCTCCCTCTGCAGAATCATAAAAGTTTGAATAAGTTAAACAAAGTTAGACCTAACTGAATCTCTACATTATGACAATCAGTTCTCTAGGCTTAAATCATCTTCAAAAAACCATGCTACAAATAACGTTACAGGGGAGCCTTTTACCAGCACGCCACTGGCCCAGGCTGGCCAGTTTTGCTTTCACGAGGCACAGTTATACCGACCTTTGCAGCTGAAAATGGCCTAGAAATATATACAGTTTAAATTTGCCAGTATGGTCACATTAAAGCTCTCTAAGTACCAATGAATATTTTCACGAAATTTAAGCATAATCTATCTTTTCTACAGCATACATTTATTTAGCAAGATTAAGCTTAATAGGCCATTTCCAAGTTCCCTTGGGCCTCTGTATCAAAACGAGGTTATCTGCTAAGCCTTTGACCTGAAAATGATTTTTCATACTCATGCAAATATAACTTATTTTCACAAGAAAGGTTTTGCACTTCACTAATAAGTGAAATTGCATACTTTCAAACTTTCTCATGATTATTCCAACCCTAACAATTTGTCAAATATCTGCTTCATGACCTGGGCCAGATTGTTCAAAGCTGGGTTAAGACCCAGGGTTAGTGTGAAATTTGAATTTGAATATAAAAAACTAAAACGCAAACTCAAGTTAATTTATTTTGTCTACAATTTGGTGATTGATGCTTGAAAAGAATAGAGGAAATTATGTGAGAAAAGGCTTGTACTGTGAACAATTAAAGAAAAAAAATCGAGATTGAAATTTTACCCTTGGTTAGGGCTTATTGGACTTTGAACAATTGAGCCCTCACATAAAATTACAATGCTATATTACTCATTTAAAATACTACGACTAAACCACCAAAAGGCAAATGAATTATTTCTAATCATATCCTTTATTTCACCAGCACAGTTCTCCAGGACAATACTTGGCAATCAGTTCTTCATAATAAGGAGTCAAAGCTTTGACATCAGGTACTGCATCAGACTTGGAATACAGGTCATACTTACTACAAAATAATGGGTTATTTATCAATGATTTATGACACTACCAACAATCTAGCTCCACAACACAAGGCTGAGATATTTCAAACACCATAGTCACTGTACGCCAGGCTGTGCTATGGGGGAGGGGGCACTCTGGATTTCAAGTGATGGTGATGATTGAATGGGGACAAAACTCAAAACCCAAAAATATGCCTAGGGCTTCCAAAGAGAATCAAAAAACACTGAACCAATAACTAACTCTCCTCTCCTACCCACCCCCAAAAAAAAATTTAAATAAATTAAATGCCAAATTTCCGAGCCTTAAAACTTTCCAGAAAGCAAAACAAGTTTGGTTGTACTTCATTCGCATGTTATTTAAGTGTACATGCTGGAATATGTGGGCACTTCAAATATATTGTACAGTCGAACCTCTGCTAACAGCCACCTGTAAACAAAGGCCACTTTTTTTGTCCCGGGGGACAAAAAAATCCATACACTGACTCTTGTTTCAAACCTCTCTACAACGGCCACTTTCTTCTGTCCTCAAGGTGGCTGTTGTAGAGAGGTTCAACTGTACACAAATTTTCCTACCTTCAAAAATCCCAGAATAGAACATTTCACTTAAAATTCAGATTTGAGGACCATCCCCTCCCCCCAACTGTAGTATGCTGGAATTGCAATCCACAGCCCCCTAGCTAAATTCATATCCTAATTTACCAGTAACTGGACTCATTCTCCTTCCTCCAGAGCCCAATCAACTCCTCAGCCATGCTTATTGTAAATAGAATAATCAGTTTTGCCTTAAAGTCTTTTCCATTGATCATTTAACAGTCAGGCTATCAGTGTATTTGTAGTTCATCACAATGACTGTTTAAGTCTTATTTTTTAATTTGTAAGAAAGACACAATGGAATTCAGTGTAGAGCGTATGAGGAAGCTTGCACTAGAACTTAGCATTCTCTGTGGTATTAGGGATCCTTAAAGATTAATTCTCAAAAAAATGAGATACAGGCTCCTGAATACAAAGAACAAAGTAAGTAAACTTGGCTTATACCCTGTTGTATTTGTATACAAATGACTGGACTCCTATAAGAGCTGTTAAGAAGTTGACTCATGTATACATGCAGAGAAAAAGCAATCCGAAACAGTCAGTATTATTAAAATAACATACATTTATGATATATTAACAAGTGGCCTATCACTTTTAAGGCAATACGTACTTGAATTCTTTAACCCATTTTAGCATTTCTTTATCTTCATCATTGCACAGATAATCATAGTCTCCACTGCAGTGCCAGGGGTAAAATGAATGAAACCTGATCATATACAACGCCTACAGCAGGTAGTACATAAAAATAAATAGAATGTTAGTTGCTTTTCAATATTAATATGAAAAATACATGTACAAATTTGACCAAAAAGGATTAAGAATTAAGGTAAACATAGATAACGATCCTCAGAGAAGACCCTGGAAAAATCAGTTGGGTCAGGAGAAAACAAGAGACAAACGTTTTCTAGCATTCATTAGTGGAAGAGCACATTATAACTCAAGGTTTCCAAAGCCATTATCAGATTGGCCATCATTGCATGACTACGACGTGACGATGCCTAAGTTCACATTTTTTGCCTCCAGGATTTGAACACAAGACACCACCTTTCTTTTTCTTTCATTAAACTTTGATATAATGTTTTAAAATTAAACTCCAGAAAAAATAGCCAACATTTGATGAATTGAACAAGATGGAATGAGCAAGATAAAGTCTGAAGCAGCACACATTTACTGTTTCAGTAACGTTTTCGTTACCGTCACCATCGTTGTTGCTTATAAAGCTTCCCAATGATACTGAGTAGTGCAGTCAGGTAAAATGGAACACAAGCAGACTAACTGTAATGTCATGGTTCACACAGAATTTTTGAGGAAAAAATCAAGGACTTTTCAAGGACCAAAATCATTTTTTCAGGACTTCTTTTCCCCGTAATTTAACATAGAATGACATGAAATAAAATTACAAACCTTTGGAAAATGTTCAGATTGTGTCTAATACAATCACAATCTGACTAGACTATTGTTTGAACTTTTGCAAGCTGGCATTAATGTTTGCATCCTAGTTAGCTAATTCTTGCATTTTCTAAGTGGCAGTCAGTTTTTCTAGGTGAATTGGCTAGTGTGACAAAAGTTATTTTGTCTGTGGCTTCTGCTTTCAAGCAAAGTTCATCTGGTGTTTCAATCATATATCAGAATCTACTCTTGCCTTTTTCTTTTTCATTTCCTCAATCTCCGTAAGTTCCCGCTTCTTAATGCACAGACACTGACCCTTCTGCCTTTTTGAATGCATTACCATCATCATTCCAATTCAAAACATATTGAAATTTCCGTACTTCCGAATGCGTAGGTGGAGGGAGGTTCACGTATTGCAATGATTGCAATACCTTCCCCAGGAAGGCATGGTTCCTACATTAGGGTATTTCAAAAAATGACAAATAAATTATGGCGGGAATACCAAAACAAAAATGTGAACAGAATTTCATGATCACTAAGAAAATTAACATTTTACATATTGCTGTGCTTTCAAGTCTTTCCTTTGCACAAAATACTTTTTTTTGATGAAGGCTATTTTCATTCAAGGAGCTTTCAAAAATATTCAAGGACTGCTGGGGAAAATTCAAGGACTTTTTAAAGATATCCTACAAAATAATTTCCAATTTTCAAGGACTTTTCAAGGACATGATGCTTTTTCAAGGAATTTTCAAGGCCCATGTGAACCATGACCGTGTGTGTCACTGGGCAATTATTGCTAGCTTAATTAATTTTTTCTTTTTTATGTCACACACTTAAGACAAAGGACCTATGCTCTACAAATCAATGCAGTGCAGCACAGAGCAAAATAGTACTCTAATAAGCAAAATGGCACCACATTGCAACTATTAACCCATGAATGAGGCACTAACATACTTCAAGGTTTAGATGTGGAATGTGTCAATGTATTAAGACAAACATCAGAAAATCAAGGATTCGAAATTAATGCTGTCTTTGGTTAAAACATAGTGTTTTACCTCTTTGGGAAGCTTACAGTTGTTTCCAGTAAGGACATGGTACATGTATTCTGCAAAATAAAAAACACTTTTGTAAGCATAACACATTAAAAACAATTTTTTAAAAAAATCAAACAAATTGCAAACGTAAATGCTAAGGTTAGTTAAGATTAGTGACCCTAGCCTTTGTGGTCAGCAGTCAGCGGTCAGCAAGCAAGATGGACGCATTTTTGATTTTGCGTTGAAATCTCTTAATTTTTGCCTCTTTTCGTTGTGTTACTTTTTTCGCATGGCCTAGCCACTCAGCGCGATTAGCTCTTGCTTTTGCTGAGTGGCTGGGTACTCTTTTTTTTTTCACAATTATTATTTCCTTTTAATGTCTTAACACTTTTTGTATCAAGAGCACAATAAAGATTGTTGTTGTTGTTGTTGTTTGCATTTGAGTTCCAAAAATAGAATATTACTGCTATAAAACTCGCATGTACATCTGTAAATACACTCACAATGAACTTGCACTTATTAATTAATATAGAAAAAAAGACTTGATGGTGCAACACCTCTTGAGACATCATCTCATACTAACTTCTCTTTGCAGTCAGCATTCAATATTTCATTCATGCGCTGGCAACATTAGTGACTTTGCATTTTGGCAAGTCTGTCAAAATTGCGTTTCCCTGGGAGAATTTGCTTCTATTCAACATACATGAGTGAAAAATATATCACTCATAAATTCGCTATGCTCACTGGTGAAATATTTTTCACCACTCGAAGAGAAATTCTGCATCTCCCGCGTGGCTATACATGTAATATCCTCTATAATTATATCCAATGTTTTCACCTCAATTAAAATTGAGTAGTGAATGAAGGTAAAGTTGTACTCAGATAAGAAATACCTACCATCATGTCCCCAAGACATTTTCACATTCTCAAGGCCACAGTTTGGTTTATAGATGCCATATTTTGAACTGCAAAAGAAAGATAAACCTGCTTTATTTTAGATACACAATTTGAAAAAGAGAAGAACAACATTGATAGCTGAAAGATAATTTTTCAAAGCCTGTAATTTGTAAGTTTAGTCAACAGAAGGTTGTATGTTAAATTAAATAGAAATACTGAAAACAGATAAGTTATACATATGTTTCTGAAATATTTTCAGCAATCACGTTTTAAAATTAAAGGCAAAGGCAGGGTTGTCACAGATATGTCTCATCACTTGTTCCATTAACTTATTCTATAGTCATTTTTCTTCAATGATGAGCAAGAGTGTCTCCAGCTTTATAAAAGCCACTAAACTGACCAGCAAAGATGGTGGGGGAGGGTGGGGGTGGGTGCTTAAGAGCCTGACAGAAAAAATAACTGTAGCCAAGTGCAGTACATAACCATGACAGCCCTGTAAGTGACATCCACCCTCAACCTTACAAACTGCTAACCAGCGGATTGGAACCTAAGTATACTTACCATATACTTACTAAGGGAGGACGGGCAGGTGAGCGGGGTAGGGGTAGAACACTTCACGAGCACAAGCAACATAAAGTGTGCCCTGTCAACCTCAACAGAGAAGAGCTGCAAATCTGCAAAGCCATTTGAGTGACCCCATTAATTTTAGATGAAAGACAAGATGGCCAGCAATGCCTCTGGTTTAGCTGCATTTCAACTACATTCTACTACCTCATAAGAGCAGAAACATAACTTAGAAAATCTGCTGTAACTGAATCACCATTTTCTTGGTTTTTTATTTTCTCACAGCTAGTGTAGAAAAATCACTCGTGACAAAAAAAGCTGTCTTTAAATATGGGCTGCTTGGAGTTTAAACGAGAAAAGAGAGCTTACATCTATTTATGAAAAATGTAAGAGGGGCAAGCTTTAAAAACCGTCAGATTTGTTTGACACTTGACTTATTTACTAACTTCCTAAGCTTTCTTCTTCCTTATCTATTTGAATGAAGATCGTGGCCATCGATCGGCACAGGGTGGGAGAAGATCTGCTACTAGGACCCAGGAATCATTAGTCCATCCTAGGTCAGCTGAACTTTTCTACCCTAAGCTACAGTGTAGACTAAAATTGCGATTAAACTTAAATTTCCTGGAAACTCCTATTCTAGAATAACACTCTATGATTACTACATCCAATCCCAGACTAAACTGCGTGAAAATCATACCCATCACAGGGACGCATACCTGTTTAGCCCATATATGGCAGTTTATTGATACTTCTCTATTTAGGTGAATTATTACTGATATATTTTACCATTATTATAACGATATTATTGTTATTATTATTATTATTATTATTATCATCATAGCCTGAAAAAACAGATGTCTCTCCTTGCTCCTCCCCACTAGGGACTTTCACCAGGAGCGACATCTGCGCCACAGCAACAGAAATGATGTAAATGTAAATCATCAGAATCTTGTCAGGAGCTCTGTTTGGTTGACAGAGTAGTTAGATTGTTTTAGCATTTGTTTACAAATCACAGACAAAAGAAAACTGGTCACATAGATCAAATGTAAATGTGATAAATCTACTGCAAAACAGTCCAATGATTTTTGAGGACTGTATTCTTTCTTAGCAGGAGCATTTTAGTTTTGCTGGAGATTGTTCGCCAGAGAACACAAAACTTTACCGTAATCAACCAGGAGAAATATAAAATCGAACAAATTTACATTTGGAACCCCATGACTACTGGATTTATTATGTAAACATTGATTTACATCAGTAGTTTGAAATTGCTGTTGTTGTTGATGCGCATGAGGTGCAGACATCCCTCCTGACAAAATGTTCCTGGCCACCAGGAGCAAAGAACTGATTACAGCTCTTTTTTGAAGGCTATCATTATTATCATTATTATCATTATTATCACTATTATTACTATTATTACTATTATTATTATTACTTACCATTAATATAACAAGAGTATAAAAAGTATTGATCTCTCGTGTATCACATACATACCTATACTCTGGCACCTGGGTATCTGGATTGGCTTTGAAGGTCTCTGGAAAGACTATCTCTTGAGAAAATCTGCAGCCAACAGGGAACGTATCTCCAACAACACAATACTGTGGCTCTCCCCATAATGCCATGACTTTACCCAAGTCATGAATGAGGCCTGTTAAGTGAAACCAATCCTCATCTGGATGGTCAGCACGAATACGTTCAGCTGTTTGGAAGGCATGAACTGAGTTTGGCAAGTCAGTGTCTGGGTCACTCTCATCAATCAATGCATCCAACAGATGGACAGCTTCCAGAATTGTCATTTTATGCTTGTTTAGCCGGCACCATTTTTCTGCCTTTAACAATGTAATCAACAAAATCAACCTATGCCACTGATATTAATATTATAAAGGAAATAAAGGGAGATGTAAAGAATCAACCATCAGAGGACACAGAAAAAATCTGAGCCCCAGATGGGATTCGAACCCACGACCCTCCGTGTTCTAGATGCTCTGACCTCTGAGCTACTGAGGACTCGTTGGCGAGCAAGGGCCATTTTTGTGGGTTGGACTTGCGAACCGCATCTCGCAGTCACACACATCTCCCTTTATTTCCTTTAATCAACAAAATAATATTATATCAGAGTTATTATCTAAAACAAACAGCTAGTGTTGATCCATCCTCTTAATTTTGAATTTTGACATTACACAATTCCACCTATATATTTGCCCCCCCATAAAATTGCAGGTCCCATGACTATTTGCACGCTCACAAAGGATGCCGATGCATGTCGCGTCCTTTGACTCTAAACTGAAGTGTTAGCATATTGTTTCCAAAATACAAGGGTAATTTAACCCATTCGCTCCTGGAGATTTTGCCGAAAAACGCGTTTTGAAGCTAGTCGAGTGGTTTTCTGGTCACTGTCGTGCTATAAAGAGCTAAAACTTACCACAAACCGGTTTACAGGTCATACACTTCGCGGCCTTCTGATCCAGATGCAAAATATCAGCTTGCGAAGTTCGGGAATGCGCAGAAAGCAAAATTTCGATTCAAGTCTTGACTTTTACTTTTCGCTTTCTCTCCTCCCTTCTTTTTTCGCTTTTCTTGCCTCATTTTTTTTTTCTCTTGCTGGGCATTTAGTAGGCTTCATTTTGGTGGGAAGAGTTTTTAGGAAAGCTTTTAGGATCTTAGGATTAGGTGAAAGCAAAGGTAGGTGAGCAATGGAACAAGATTTCCATGGAGATTTTCGGGTCAATGTCATGTCATTCTGGTATGGTTTGAAAGATCTCTTCACTCTACACAAGTTACCGAAGAAAGTTGTCCTTGAATGTTAAAACTGATGACGTCACAAAGGGTAGAAAGGACGTGGATCCGCACGGGCGGTTACGGGCGGTTCAGGGGCAAATGGGTGAACTTAAGCAAATCAATAATTCGAAGCTTTCGTGCTACTCTATATCATATTAGGAAATGCAATCGCTCAACTTGTAAATTATTTTAACTTCGTAAAATATTTTAACAATTTAATTAAGTAGAATGTTTAGAATGCCAGAAAAACAGACTGGAAGTCAAACAGTTTCAGGAATTGAGAAGGCCGTGTGCCATGTACATATGGCACATAAATTTAGAAATGTGACTCGCATTATAAAACTGTTAACCAAGTCCAGTATGCACCCTGGTCACATAATAAGGTGATAAGCACTTCAATCTGTCTATTAAATTTGTGTTACCAAAATAAAAAACTGAAAAATCAACCTGTGTGCCCTTTGCTTCTTCGATAGTAGCCTGCGTAGCAAGTTTTTCCACAAGAGTTCTTTATAAATTTCGCCCAATAACTCGATTGTAATGCTTGCTACACAGGCTACTCTGACAGATGATCTTTCAGGATCGTTTCTTTTCGCCCCCAGACCTCTACTCGCACTTAGCTCGCAAACAAGGTTCCGTCAAACTTCTCTCTTCATCGTTTTCGTCTTTCTGACCGAAATGAGTTCATTTGCATTTGAATTAGTGAGGTAATGCCTCCGAAGAAATAGTTCCTAAATTAGATTTTTAAGGCCAAAGAAAACTTTCAAGTTTTCATTTAGCATGAATTTGAACGCTAAGTCAGCCAACAGCAACAACAACAACAATGATGCAACTGACGAATTTGAAGGTCCATCTGGCAAAACAAATATGCACCCTCCACACTCTCCAGGCATGCTTGTAACGAAGACACAGGAAATTCTAGTCAAAGTGGCTAACCTTGTGGCTGTGACTAGTGTTTGAAACAGACGCCATGTTTCTTAAGATTCACCTCAAACATGGCCAAAAAAACCATAACCCTCAGTTGCAAAATATCATAAGTATTAAAAACTGCAAAAATACTCTGTACTTAAAGCACATTGAAAATACACAAAATACAGTAAACACTAAAACGAATTGCACTTATCATTTCCGTATTCCTTTTTATCCGGCCCACTCCACGACTTCAATGGCCCATACTGAGACGAAATGGCCCGTAACTTTTCAAAGTCAGGAGCCATTGGCACATTTGTCTATTTGGCCTTCCCAATATAAATCCCTGTTACTTTCCATCAAACTGTACTATCCTGGCTTTCTTATGACTTTTCGATTTGCTTTGTTTCATCTTAAGTTAATTTTGTGAACGCTGAATTCTTTCACATGAATTTACACTTTCAAAGAGAAGAAAACTTCGAGGAAATAGTGTGTTTAAAACCGCGGCGATACGTATCTATTTTGCTTCACTTACACTTATACGCAAATTACCCTTTATTCGGTGGATTTCGGTGGGGACAAAAATTGCACCTTTGATTTCTTAGATGCTTGCCTTTTTGGGCACCCTGTTTAATTTGACTATCAATTGAAGATTTTTTAAGCTTTGCTTCAGACCTCACATTACAATGTATTAATGCAGGAAAGTTATGAGAAATGCTGTAACTGAATAAAGTCACACAATACGTTTTAACCCTTTAAGCCCAAATATCCACATACAAATTCTCCAAACTGATCTCCATACATTTCCTTTCAGAATAAGTTGAGAGAATTTGATAAATGATCAAGGCATTTTCTCTTTGGTGATCATTTCATTAATTCTCACAACTACATCTCTTGACAATGTATGGATATTGTTAGGAAAAAATTGATGTTGGTCACCATTGGGACTTAAAGGTTTAACACTGCATAACTTCATCTTTCTGGTATCTTTTGTTCTTCTATTGCCTCCAAAACAATCAAGATGTCCCACCAATTTCCACTTACAAATATTAGGAGATATTTGACTAACAGAAAAATTTGCTTTTGCTAGTGACATATTTCAATTCGGGGGATTTCGTGTGCACCAAAAACAGATTGCAGGACATGAAAAATCAAAAGTGAAATCTTAAGAAAAAAATTTACAATAAATACCTTTTAAGGTTAATACACAAGATCGTAAAAAGAAAGAATGGACAAATGGTGGTGATACATGACAGATATTGGGGGGGAAATCTCACAGGTTAAAGATGCACCAGCAATGTTGAGGCAATAACAAAGACCGTGCAATTACACCATGCAAATCTCAGTCAGTAAGGATTCTGTTAACACATGTATGCAGAGTGACTAAATAAGTATATCCTTGTTATTTCAAAACAAACCTTCCTCTTGACGAAGTCCAGAGTCTGATTCTTATGCATTAGAGCATAAGTATTGTAAACTACATCAGTCTGAAGATTAACATTGAAATTCCTAAAATCATTGTCAGATTTATCTGTTCTGGATACAATGAAGTCATTATATTCCTTGTAATTCTCTTCAGGCCTGTGTATCTGTGATGGATCTAAAATAACAACCTGAAGTGGAGAAGAAAAAGCAAATAATAAGAATACAATACACAGGACATATGTTTTAAATAATAAGAGGAAAGAGACTAGCTTGATTTCAATAAATGCTGTACATTGCTTTTTTTAAAAAATAAATGTTGCTCAAACTTAATGAAATGTTCATTTAAGAAACACCATATGTTCTGTTGTGACATGAATAATATGGAAAGAAAATATGCACAATAACAATAATTATTTGTGTTCTTATATATATTCGGTTTCGGCTTTTTAAAACTTTGATATCACTTTTGCAAAGAAAAAGTCATATATTTTATTTCTCACCAGAGTGTTACCACATGAAATTTGCAATTTTTTGTGAGTTTTCCCTGGGGTGACCACAAATAAAAAAAATTGTAAGGTGTGAGAGAAAGGAAAGGTTGTTTTGATCCGTCCATTGCATCTCTAGCCCCAGCCTTTACTTCTCACAATATTTTAGCTGAAAAAGCAAATATTCCATAATCTGAATTCTTGCTTCCAGGCAAAGAACTCAATTAATGATGCAAGATGTTTGGAAATGACAACTGTGCATTGTTATTATTTTAAAAGCTTGCCTCTGTTTACATGCTGATTGGCCTATCTGTGACACTCCCCCAACCCACCCACAAAGCTTTCACCGTATCCCGGCTAGCAAGTCACGTGAAATACAGTATATCTAATCTATCCTAAAAAATTTTCAGACTCATGCAATTTGATTGAATTTATGAAATCACCTGCTGACAGTAGAATGAAAACGAAATTCTTCATACTGCACTCAGCGAAACTCTCATGTACACTATGTACGTGGGCTAAAAAGTTAACACGAGTACAAATCGTCTAACCACTCCGATACAGTCTTTAAATCCGAAAGATTCCCCTATCGCCGAATGTTTAAATTGAAGAGCGGCGACCATAATATCAAATGTAGCAAGGATATGTTGAAGTTGTCCCTTGTTTCGCGCTGTCTTTCATAGGTCGGTCCCTGTTTCCTAAAAGTACGCGCCTAAAATTTTTTACGGCAGTACTTTTAACTTAAAATTACGCGACAGTAAAAATCCACCATTACAGTACGCCAGCATGCAAAGATTACTTACGCTTTCAGTGGCTAGAGGACGCATTTTCACGGCTAACACTAGTTACACCCTCGCTTCTTCCAAGCTCTGAGGCGGAAATATTTTTTCACTACGCCACAACTGCGCTACACAAAAGTCAGGCCACGAAAAACATGTTTTGGCAAAGAGACAACTGATTGGTCGACATTAGACTGGCCACGGTTGGACTTGAGAACAGGTTTGAGAAAACAACAATAAATATTTTATATCCTGTTTTATACCTGATTATGTTTTGGTCCTAATATAGAGCTTTCTCTCTTTAAAAAAAGATTTACTATGATACTTACATTTTATCGTTTTTCTTTGTATTTTCTTGACGCTGGGAAACGCCATTTTAAGTAATCCTGCTAAGCACACTGGGAACTCGGACGTGGAAGGGGACAGGAAGGTCAGACATGACAGAGGCAACTTCGCGCGATCGCACAGATATTACCAAACAATAATAATTTTTAAAGTACGAAAAAGGAAGGTCTTCAAAAATAAACCCTTCAGGGCGCAGATAAAAAAGATTTTACATATTTTGCATCGCTAATTTTCTTGTTTTGGCTGTAGCACATATGTTCCGTTCCCAGGTTCCTCTCTCCTACCGCCTGGGAACGAGGTTGCCTCCAAAATCGGTAAAACCTGTTTTTTACCATTGTTGTGACGTTGTCAATGAAGTATTGACGTCACAAAAACTAAATAAAAGAAATTTACAGACACTTATGTTAAAGTTTTCAGAAAGAACAAGATAAATATAATGCCTTCGTGTCCAAAATCAACATGTTATATTCCAAAATGGCAGTGAGATGACAGCAGTGCTGTGATCTTACGCCAACCGTCGTCCAATTTAGGATTTGCGCAAAGCCATCAGGACCATCAGAGCATTGCAATATTTAAATAATGCCTCACGCACAATTTACAGTGTCACACAAATGATGACAAGAAGGCAATTTTGGTCTTTCTCTTTCGGACATTTCAACACTACGTCTTAGCTTAACCTCATCATTGTATGTAAGACCCTGAAGAAGGAAGGCCGTGCCTTTCGAAATATTGGTAAAAATGGGCGCTTTCCATTTAGGCAAAAAAACCGGAAATTTCGGTGGGAGCAAAAGTGGAATTTCCGATTGGTAAAAAGTTGTTCCATTTGGTCGTAAACCCCGTTACGTCGCGGTGCCCGACGGTGGACCTGGAACTGGTACAAACTACGAGGAACGTAAATGGAACACGACATTCTGTTCGGAAATTCCAACCGGGGAAACGGGACCACCTTTTTAGATTTTCCACTTTTTCTGAGAATTTTCCAGTGGGATGAACTGACGAAACGTGTTCCATTTACCGCCGAACCGGAAATTCCGGAAATTTTGACTAAATGAAAAGCGCCCATTATAAATATATTTATTCCCGGCTGTAAAATCAGCCCTACTTCTTTTGTTTAATGTAAACACTGTACTGCATAAATATCCCAAGATTGCAAAAAGTACACTTCCGGCGAACCATCCGAATTCGCGTACTTTTCGAGGCTTCATGACGTCACGCGAAAACGCTTGTTTTCATGTATCAAACCGCCCTTGGATACCTTGTGATGCCTACACAAAGTAATTTCATTTATATGAGTAAGCCCCGCCCTTTGAGTTGTGAGAGGGCGTGGATCTAACCTGCGATCAGACGTTTTTTTTTTTTTTCCTTTCCACATAGAGGGATAATAGGCAGAGGGCGTGATCTCTGGCTAGCGTGGATCTGGATCATCTCAAACGAACGCGCGCGCACTTTTACTGCCTGCTCTCACAGGTAGCCCAGGCTCGAAATATGAGCATCGGGCGAGCATTGTCAATGTTGCGTAACTTTCAAAATGTAAGGAGTTGTATGAGAAAAAAACCTATCGTTTCTGTAACCTACGAAAATGAAAGGATTTCAATAAAAAACAGCTTACCTTACTTAAAATGTGTGTTACGTCTCTCCTGTGTGGTCCACGGGTCGATTTATGGCCGTTTTATGGTTTTCTCTCTAAACCTTTATCAGGGTCGGCCAGGGAGGGTAGTGGTATACCAGTATACCCGAAAAAATTCGCCAAAATACCCAAAAATACCCAAAATTCATCCAAATATACCCAAAATTATACCCAGGTATACTTTACACCTGAAATTCAAAGAAAGTGATATACCGAATACCCGTATTTAAGCTGCAATATACCGTATACCCGATTTAAAAAGCCCCTGTGTACCGTATACCCAATAACCATGGCCGACCCTGCTTTATGTAGAGAATTGAATGTTACGCAACATTGCCGATGCTCGCCGATGCTTATATTTCGAGCTTGGGATACCTGTGCCTCTCTCGGCTTGATTGAAGTGATCGGGAGAAATGGTAGCCTCCCCGCAGACGTCCTTTGGGGTTCGTTTGTCACGCATTCATATGAATGCGTGACAAACGAACCCCAAAGGACGTCTGCGGGGAGGCTAGAGAAATGGATGCTTCATAAAAACACAGAATTTATATCTTTTGATCCCAAAAATTAATATAATATAAGAAAAATGAATAAAGATAACTTACCATTTGTTTTTAGTTTCGTGTCCTGTGTCTCTCAGTACACAGCCGTAAGACCTTCTAGCCCGGGGGTAGGGTACGCCATTATTTGGCCTAGTAGTCTAAGACGAGTATGTGCCGCCTAATAGGGTATGGTTCGTAGGAAATCAGGAACCGGAAATGAACGAGTTTTGTCTTCAAGAGTGTCAGGACCATGCCAGGACCCTAACCCTAACCCTTGATTGCCCAACACCCCCCCCCTCCCTCCCCCTGGTTCTTTGCCACCAGTCGCGTGTTACACGCACCATTTTTTTGTTTGTTTGCTTGTTTGTTTTCTTTTATTTTCAAATCAATGGCAAAAAAATCCTCTTTTTAACGCAAAGCATCCTTTTTCCTTTCGATCCAAAATGCCAGAAAAAACTGGATCAGCGTTAGATCCCGCGGGCTCAACGCGCCGATCGCTCTTGTTCGATCGTGAACGATCGTGACCTTTATCTTCTCTTTATCTTTGGATTTGTTGTTCTTGTTGCCCGAGGCTGTGGCTTCGTTGTTGACTTTCCGAAGCCATTCGCCGTTAAATCACAGGTTTGATTAGAAAATAAATTGTCCTTATTCCCATGTTATTTTGTGGCGTTTACTTGAATGCAATGCAGCACCGACAGAGGTAGGAGGGAACACCGTGAACTTCGTCTTGGTAGCCAAGTTACAGATCAAAACAACCTTCATTGCATCGAGCTTGGTACGTCTTGGCCAATGGTAAGTTCAAACTTTATTTTCCATATTTGATTGGAATCTTTTCAACAAGAAAATTTTAATTCAGAAGCTAAAGATGTGATATCCTTAACCGTGTCCTTGTTGAATTTTTTAGTCGTTTGTTGGCGCCTGATTACAGGATCAAAAGATTTTTTATTGTCGTTTTCTCCTTTTTAATGCATTTGTAAAGTTGAAACACCGAGAGACCTCTTTATCTGTTTCCAAATTCTTTACTCTCTACTAGTTTATAGGGCGAAATTTCATTTATTTATACAAAGCATTCTATGCGCCTACAAAACACCAATTTGTCCTAACGACCTTTGTATTAAATGAAAGGTAATTAGATTTTTTTACACTTTGGGTTACAGAGTTACTTAACTGATATAAAACTCGATCATGTTTGCATAGCCTTACAGAAGCGAGAGGTTTTTGGGAGGATTCAAGACAGTTATGCAATTACCCAATGTGAAGTCAGGGGCTTGCATAACTTTTGAGATTTTTTTTAAAATTCTTCCAGCCCCTTGAGTGTTTATGTCAGGCTTTGCAAACACAGTTAAAAATTTTCCTTTGCTTTTGTAAAATAACATTTATCCTGGAAAAATACTGCAAACTATAAACTTTAAATATGAGACTGTATGATAACAGCTGTTTGGAAAAAAAATGATATTTTTGTTTTATTCTCAATGCAGGAATATCTTTTCTCGCATTGCTGTCTTTGCAAAGATGTAATGCTATCTCAAAGTATAATGAAATTTTGTATAGCTTTCCTCACAAAAAATGTAAAATCTTGATGTCTTGTTACTAGTCATGAACTGTTGTACACTAAGTTTTGTATGCATAATCAGTTCTTAAGCAGAAATTAAGTTGTGATCAAAAAAGAAACACACATGGAAGTTATTTGAATTTCTCTCAATGGGTTATGCCCTCAGGCAACTCAAATTTGACTCTTATTAGTGACTTAATGTTCTTAGTCAACAAAAAGACTACAGAGCAGAAGATCACAGATTCTATCCAGGCTATGGCTGGAATCCAATACTCAGGGAAATGAAGATCCTGGCTTTGCCCTGGGAGCAACTATAACTTCACGTGTCTGGGATGGCTATGTAGAAATGGTAGTCCAGTCTCCACAAGGAGAAGTAAAAACATTGCCCTCAAATAATCATTGCCTTCATGCTAAATACACTGATATTCAAGTAAATTGCATTTTTTTATATATTATTCAAATATTCTTAAAATATTTATGTAAATTCTTTCAGGAACATCAAATATACCAGAGATAGTAGATGTAATGTAGACCAAATCATTTCTGCTGGTAAATGATGATGAAAAGAAAGATAAAGTAAGTGTGGTTTGCATTAATTTTTTATTTATTTATTTTTGTAAATGCTTGGCTCTAGAGGCTTATGTTTAATTGGTAATAACCTATCTTCAATAACCTAATTCAGAACTAATGGCTCAGTCAACTTTTGCATGCTCATGCCCCTGGGGATGTACGTCATATTTTTTAGGAATTTGCTCATTTTTTGTTGGAAAAGCTGCAAATGAGCCGCACTGGAGACAGATCATCCAATGATATCATGCTGAAGTATTTGAAAGAGGCTTATTTGGGAAAAAGGGTGCGACAGCAGTGAAAGGATGTGTCTAAATCGCCTACAGTCAATAAATGGCCTACAGTCATAGTGTAGGAAAAGGAAACCATCGTTGTGAACATTTCAATACTAGTTGTTACCTTTCTTGTTCCCTCCTCCCCCTATCCTCATGGCCCCTTGCCATTCACCAACAAATTGTTCTGTTATGTCTGAACAATGAAAAGAGAGGACTGTGATATATTTTTTTAAATTTAAACAGTCACTAGTACACTAATTAAAAGTCGGGTTTTCAAATTATTACTATTTGTAGGTTAAACTGTTGCCTCCAAGTGGTGTTTAATAACTATAATCCTTTAACCTTGCAGACAAATGATGTTGAAAGCTGCTGTTAGTTAGGAGATATTATCAGCACCTTTTAAAAGTAATAATGGGAGCAGGTATGTGAACTGACAGTTAAGATGATCATCTAATTGTCATTGAAATGCCACCCTTAATTTTGGCGCTGTCTCTCATTTACTCTTATTCACCCTTCCCAGTTGTGCACATTTGTCTTGTTGTGTCAGGTTTTGTACAATAGGAGTTCTAGTAGACTCACAAGACATGATGGTTGTGAAAAGGCTTGAGGCCTCCACATTTGTGGTTTGTAAATCATGCTGTTGGTCGTCAGATATACATAACGTTTTCAACCTTTTTTCTTGTCTACAGCATGCACAAGTCAGTCATGCAAAGTATTCCCTGCGACTGGTCAAGCTGCAAAAGCATCTAGAAATGGGTAGGTCTTCTCTTTCACAGTATTTAATTTTTATCAGGATTGCAACTCTCTTATGCAGTCACTCACAGTAAATTGAGAACTGCATTCACTTTTTTGTGATTGAAATTTCTTTTAAAAAGACCCCATTAATTTTTTAACCCTATTATTGTGGACATAGCGTTATAAATAAATAATGAAGAACATTTTGGTGAATCTGCTGATGTCAATATTCTTTCCAAAAGATTTGAGAGCTGTTTGGCTCAAAAATATTTTTCCAAAAGTCGATATGGTAATAATTATTGAAGGAGTGTAATAAATGAGTATGGATACATGCAGCGAGACAGAATTTGTTCAGTCACTTAACTGCACAAAATAAGTTTACATTTCAGCATTGTGATGGAAAGTTTAATTTTTTGTCAGAAAATTAAAATAGTATGCAAATTCTTTATTATTTGCAAGTAATTAAAATTAAATAATACTAATATTTTATGCTAAGGATTTTTGTGCATTAAGTGGATGCTTCATTTGTACTGTTGATTGTAGGCTCTTATAAACATAGATTCAGGATAGTTCACCATAAACAAAAACCAAATGTCTGTCTGCTTAACTTCAAAAGATAAAGTATTAGAAGAGTGAGTTTTAAATGTTTAATCATACACCTCAATTATCCAAAATGAATGGGTTAATATTCTAGTATTGGTTCTTAATTGTTTTGAACATGAACCATATTGCATAAAAAGTGTGCTTAGAATAAGGAGAAAGTTTACACTCGCTTGAATTTACATTACGTGTCACTGAAACTATGGCAAGTTTTTTCGAACCACTGTTTTTGTACTAAAAGTTACATTTTACAGAATAATGGTTATTAGCCTAGTTATGCTTGGAGACAAGTGATATTTGCCACAAAGTACAGTCAAAAAATCCTTGTTAAAATTAATAATCACTCTGGTGACTTATATTAAATGATACCATTGTAAATAACAATGGAAATCACAGAGTGCACTAGTCACCAAGATCATGGCACCCAGTGACATTGCAAGACTAATTTACTGTTATCCAACCAAACGATAATTCAGACAAAACCCAGTAATATTACTGGGTTTTGTCTGCTATGCACCTTTGTCACTTACAGAACTTGTTTCCCCAGCAAACGTTTTATTAGGTTTCATTTTCTGAGATTTGATTTCCTGCTGTTTGGATGTAGCTTTTTAACCTAAATAAAGTAGAATCTCTTGTAAAAACCGCGTAAAATATATTCAACTGTTAAACAAGAAAAAAGGATTATCAACCTCAAGGTTAGTTTGTTTGTGCCTCAATCATGTCATCCTAGACTCAATACTAAAACACACACTTTTGAGGGGTGTTTTTTATCTAGTTGGTCAGAGAGTCAGAGTGAAAAACAAAACCAACTGATCCTCCTGTTTTATCCAATGGATATGCTCCTTAATCTTGCAAAACCTAATACATGTCCATTCATGATTTATTTATAACATTCTGAAATACATGATTGTTCTTCTTATTCATGTTGTTCCCTTATTTAACACAATGACAACTAATGTCCAGATATTTTGTAAGTCAGAGAAACTTTTCATGATAACTTTAGACACTGGATTTGCGAGACTTTGATACAAACCAAGCTTCACATATAACTTAAAGGCCAAAACATGAATTCATTATCACATGCTTAACAGAACCAAATGCCTCTGCACAGCAATTAACTTATCTTTCTTGTTTAAATACCTTTTTGTTTTCAGTTTATGCTAATTGACTTCTAACAATAGCAACTAGATGACTTATTAAATACTGAGGCTTAACTGGTATTGTTATGCTAAAAACTGTCATTTAGTTAGGAATAATATTACAGCCTAGCATAGCTAAAAAAGATGCAGATGGAACAAAAAAAAAAGGTTTTGTCCAAGTCATAATTAATTGTGCTACTCCACTTGAGTTTTCAACTAAAAGAGCTGAAATATCAGGCTGGCATTATTTTTAAATAGGGCATGGGTCAATTACAATGAATATCATGAACTGGTTGAAGAAACATTTCAGGTTTGACTTGTACTACATACAATATTACTGTCTTCAGCCTTGGTTTTATTTACAGCGGGTTGCATAAGCTTTTTTTGTTTCTTGTTGCTAGAAAGTACACAATAGATGTACTGTTTTGGACGTAAAACTTTTTCCCTTTTTATATTTTAATGTGCTTTGTACCACTGCTTACATGTCTATGTTCTTACTAATTTATTAATAACTTTTGATTTCACCTAGGTATAGTATTTCCCATCACTATTTCAGTTTTAGCTACATACTTACCACTGAATAGATTTTTAAAGAAACATAGCCATCCATATATCTGGTTGATTTTTATTTGATTATTTATCTATTTACAGATCAGTTAACCAACCTCCTGAAATCAACAGTAGTCATAGCCCCAGGAAAAGAGAAAGTACATCAAGTTTTTCAAAACACAATAAAGTGTCATCATTGAATGGCCATGACAATGGGAAGCATCACTCCAGTGCATCCCAAGCTAACAAAGAAAAGATTTTTATCAAGAAAGATTCAGGATTACATAGTGCAACTCCAAGGCCAACTGAAGTTAGTGCTTCAGTAATTACTGCAGGAAGCAGGTCAAATATTGGTAATTCTCAGAGTAGACTTGGCGGTGGACTTGAAGCTAGTTTTGCATCCCTTCGCCGCAGTTCAGCTACACCTGACTTGCTCAACAGCAGTAGTGTGTTTGATGGAGAAGTCGTGTACATCTCATCAAAACCTAGCAGCAGTGTAGGATCATCTTCACCGCGCTTAAGACGACCTCCTACCAAAGAATCACGCAGTGTCTCCATTTGTGAAACAGATGTATGTAACAGATCTGCTCAATATAGTCTTAACTGATCATGCTTGAAGTGTTACTTGTGTTTACTCTGCATGAAGGCCTCTAGTGTCAGGTTTACCATCAAATCTTTTATGATTAGGTTGTAAAGTCCCTTGACACCTTCCCTGTTCCATTAACACAATTCAAAGCAGTCTTCAGGAAGGACCTAAATGTTAAGCGCTGTTTGTGTTTCTTAGCTAAACTGCAGTTGTATTTCCTTTTTTTTTTCAATAGAACTTTTTACAGCTTAACCAGTATAGACTTATGGATGAAATTGGAAAGGTAAGTTGTAAATAATACCATTGGAATGCTTTTCATGAATAACACATTATTTACAACACCAAGGCTAAAACAAATTTATATTTGTGGGGTACTTTTTGTTCCTTTTTATCCATGCCCGTGGCATGCTAAATATTGCATCTGGAAGCAATGCTGACATTCACAGCATTGTGTCCTGTGGCAAGTAAAATGTAAATTTGCCAGCTTTGTTTATCCTTCTTTGCTCTTCTTGATCTCCTTTCAATGTATTATCTTAGTAACTAAGTGACAGTGAGGTATGTACTGTAAGTTACAGACCAAACCCAAAGCATCTGGGTCGTCACCCAGCTGCCAGCACAGCCTTTCTTTTGCTGACCATCGGTTTATCAATAAACAGATGCTTGCACTCGAAAATAAAATAGTTTGACAACACAACAGAGAACAAGATTCAGGCTGCAGAGTCTCCTTTTCTCCTCCTAACTCAAAAAACCTAAAGGAGGAGCGTGCTGACAGGCTGCAGGGTGCACAGTGGACCATAAAACAACAACAAACAATGGGTAAAGGATCTGTAATTTACCGAGAAAACAATTTTAATAAGAAGATATATGGTTTATGTCTGAGGTGAATCAGGAATAAGTTAAGGCCAGTGACAGTGTGCATACAGTCACCTTTGGAAGAGCAAACTGGTTTAAATTATCAGGAAGTTTGAAATATCAGGGGTAAAACTACAGTGTTTGACTGGTGAAGAGAAGTAAGGTTTGATTCAAGTTATCAGGCTTTTCAAAAAATTCAAGAGTTCAAAAAATTCGTCTATGGGGGAAATGTGCAATCAAGAAGTGAAAGAATACAAAATAATAAAAGCAACAAAATAATAAATTGTATAATGATCACACTATGGGAGGAACTTATTAGTCTCGCTTGTGTAAGCAGCGAGACTCATAATCTGCAACACGTTTTCGTATTTTTGTTAGTATTTTATACACAAATAGGGGGTCATTTTGCTAGGCGTTCCTAACAGAGACCGTGGAAACTGGGACTAAGAATCATTGCATGATCGAAGTCACACATGTTTAGGAAAGATTAACTTTATAGCGTTTCTGAAACATGTCGGTCCACAAATTCTGTCTCTTCAAAGTGTTGATTACTTTGGAATAAGTGAACACTACTGAGTAGTTGAAAAAAAATCTTAATTAGCAAAACTGCGATGGTCGGGCATTGTAAACTTTCACTGTATGCAAATGAGTCTTGTAAGAAAGAATGCTGTTTATTTTCGGCGATGATTGAAATGAGTTGCCATGTAAATCACTTTTTTGATCTCTGGCAAGGATGTAATTTCTCTGGAATTGAGACTCTTGAATTTTCGTGTATTTATACACGCATATAGCCTTCGACTGTAGACATATGTCCAGTTGTCGCTAACACGTGTACTTAATCAATTCAGAAACAAGTAAAAAGTATTGACATCGATAAAGTAACTAGTAAAAAACCTTTAGCGAGTAAATCTTGTTTTGTATAGAATTAATCGCCTCCTCATTTCTCTATCTAATCTCCAAGCAAGCGAGACTGAATGCCACTGTAAGTGCGTTCTTGTAATTGATAAATGCCATTTCAATCCAGAATGTACCAGAAGAAGAACCACTAAATCGTTATTTATTTATTTATCTTTTTACCTATTTATTTATTTATTTATTTATTAGACTCAGAGTGAAAATTTATGTACAACAATATATTTTGGTACCAGTGTAAGTTAATTAAGCTCACACATAGTTTTTGATTTGTATTTAGGGTTCATATGGAGTTGTCAGGCTTTGCTATTCAGATTTTGATCAAGCAAATTATGTAAGTATTGTTTATAAACAGTATGCCCAACATTTTTGGGTTGTGCATTATTAATAAGCAACTTGAAGTTGCCTAAATATTTTCTTCTGTGTAGTAGCCTTAACAAACTAGTGACAAGAATATTCCAACACTTAAAACAACATCAACTTATTCCTATTAATTCTGCATCATTCTCCTTAAGGGATGAGAATTATCAGTCACTGTAAAGTTCATAAGAGCCTGAAAATGGCAGTAACCATTAAAGCTCATTTTTGCTCACAATGGGCCTACACCTTCTGCTTTTTCCTTTTGCTTCCTTCTTTAAACTTGACTTAACCAGACTGTCACGGCTTGATCTTGGTGGTAGCTAGGCAACTAGCCAAATACTAGTACATTTTCAGTTTTGCCTGAATGGATCGAATTGTCTTGCCCACTCACCATGATGACTAGTACCAAAACACACAAGGCGAAGATTTTTGTCTGCTTCAAAATCTAGTATTCACAGCTGATGACAAACTGTTAAAATGATAAAGCTTTCTTATTGAAATTTTTCGCACTAAATGTACGTACTTTGCTATTTGGCCATTACTCGGCCAAAGAGGTTTAAGATTCCAGTGCTCCCATCATGCACTTTGATCACAAATAAAGCTGTCCATCATATTGTTTTTGTTGCACATGTTTATGTTTGAAATGGACATCAGAGGCTTCTTTTCTTTGGAGAGAGGCAAGAAGAGTTTGAAAAGGAAAGGAGGTAAACTGCAAAGTCTGGCAGTGGAAATTATGCATTATTTTAGTATTTGAAAGCCCCTTTTTAGCGGTTAGCTAAAAGAGCTCTCTTCCTAGTGGTTATTACCATTGCACTAGCCATAAGACTTCTGTTATAAAAACGTTAAGGTCGAGCACTGACTGTATGTCACATTTGTCATCAGCAAAAGTGAGAAGTCTCATTTTTTGGTGTCTTATTTTGGGACTAACCAAGCATCAACACTATTTTGTCACGAATTCTCTCATCTGTTGTGTTTCACAGAACATCAGACAGCTGCTGAAATAATTGTAATCCCAATAACTCCATCTCTTCTTTCCACATACTAAATAATAACATTGTATGGTTATTTAACCTGTAATTTGTCATCATGTATTAATTGAAAAATGATTAATTTGTTTTGTTTTCAGGCAATGAAAATAATATCGAAGAAAAGAGTAATGAGAAAAGCTGGATTAAGTAAGTTTGTTTTTATTATGACAGGGTTGGGAAAAAATTGAGTTTTTCCTTGCTTTTTTTCTAGTGTCTATATTCAAATCACGTTCCCTCGCAGTTAGTTTTTCTTGGTTCCATCAATGAGTTGTTCATAAGTCATTCAGCCAGGCAATCATACTCAAGCTACTTACATGTATGAAATGACTCCTGGGTTCAAACCTTTCACATTAAGTCATTTGTACGGTGCTGGTAACTGTTAAGAATCCATTCAAAGCATTTGATAAACCAGTTGAAAGATTATCAGTTTGCAAACTAGTAACATCCATTCAAAAGTTTGCAACATTTTTTCAAACAGATTTTATATAATGTGTTTGTTAATATTATTAGTAGCATCCGTTCAAACAAATGAATAATTTATTGCAATGTCTGCATGTCCTTTCATAAAGTTTAAGTGTGTATTAAAAGCGCACAAGTCCTCAACACATAATTTGCTAACCTAGAGAATGGTGTAATAGTGCAGCTCAACGGACAAAACTTTAAATTGTGGAAAAAGGAATGTTTTGGGTGTCATTTCATTAGTGAAAATTGATCCCTGTGAACCATTTCGTTAATTACAGACAATCTGGCTCCAAAATTTTACTCTACAAAGTAACATCACAGATCTTTTTGGGCAAAGGACATCTTGATTTGGAGACAATTCTAAAAACCATGAGTTGTAGCTCTTCGTCAAGCCTTAATTTTTGAAAATTAAAAAAGAAGATGCGTTTCTTGAAAATAGTGCATTTCCTCAATAATGCAGTTTCCACTGTATACTTGTTCATCAATGGATGACAACTGACTAACAAGACATTAGTTCAACAGCTTTAAAATCATCTTGACCCCTACCAGTATTTTTATTTCATTTTTTCATTTTTTTGTAAGTAGATCTTCAAGTATTGCAAGTTTTGCATGACCCTCTGGAAAAATTATTTCACAAGGACAACTCCTACCCTTAAGAAATTCCTCCCCCCATTGACCTTCCTTGGGGGGGGTATGGATATTTTCTGGAACCTCATATTATAAATTTATTAACAGGAACTTTGCCTTTAGCCCTGACTAAGTCTGTTTTATTAATTTTACTGGGATGATTGACTTTAGGGAGACCAGGTGACAAAGGCAAAAACCCAGGACTGGAAAGCTTACAGAGAGAAATCGCAATTCTCAAGAAGGTTGATCATCCCTATGTTGTAAGACTTTACGAGGTATGTTTACATCTTTTTATATGCAATGATCCCACTTTGTTTGTGACCATTGAATAACTTCCTTAAGTGACCTTTTACCCCTCTGTTGCTCTTTTTTGTAAACAAATTCATGACAGACCATGGTCAGAAGCTATACTTAGCTTTTGGATGATTGATTTCTTCCATTTATTTGTACTTGATACCTTATATTTACAACCTTGGTAATTTAAATCAATAAAATCTGGGCCTACTGCCATACTGACTACTGACTACTGATGCAATGGTGGGCCAGCTGAAGGGTGTGGCTGATATTTTTTATTTGACGTACAGTGAAACCTCTATTAAGCAGACCCTCAATTAAACAGGCACTAAGCCAGGTGCCGAAATTAATGTCTTATATTTCCCTTTATAACAAACCCCTATTCAGCGGACACTAAAATAAATTGTACTTGACTAATTTCTATTGTTAATAACCTCTATTAAGCGGACACTGGACTGAATTGACAATAGCAGTATTGAATTATACCCTTCAAATACATACTTTAGTCAGTTAATAAAGATAAATCAATACATTTAGCTGTCAAGAAACTGTAGATTAGCCCAAGAGTCTTGCACAAAGTACTGCACAGCTTCCTTAACACTGTGGAACTTTATCACAGTACACAGTAACCCATTGAAAGTTAATCATTAACAAACGTTGCACACTTTTCACAAACCTCTATTAAGCGGACAGTTGGGAAGGTCCCAAAGGTGTCCGTTTAATAGAGGTTTCACTGTATTTAGTTTTAAGAGAATTAGGGCATTATTCCTTTTTTCTCAGTAGTAATAACTCAATAAGAAGCCAGTGATAGCTTATAATTTTGTGTGGTGTGTACATATCAAGTGTTTAAAAAAATGTGATACAGTTTGACTTAACACATTCTATTCCATGTCTGCAGGTCTTAGACGACCCATCTGAAGACAATCTTTATCTTGGTAAGACTTTATATTGCAGTGTGTATATTCATCACAGTAAAAAGAACTCAGAAAATAGAAATTAGCTAGTATATTATGTGTTAATTAAAAATCAACTGCTATACAAAGGAAACACAGTAACTTGTATAGCAGAAATTATCAAATAGTTTTGTTCAGAAATGTCTCAGTAGTATTCCATACAAATATATATATTTAGTATTTTGGACATCAACTTCCCATATCATTGCCTTGTGGAAGCTGGCATTGTCTTCATGAACTGACTGCACTAACCTTATTTGTACCTAATATGGCTGAGACATGTTTTCTTTACTTGTAGTGTTTGAGCTTATGGAGAGAGGGTATGTATACCTCATTATCATGGGCTGAAGTAGAAACTTATTGTACTTATCGCTTACACACAGATGCTGGCCAGCTAGGAGTTCATTGATCAGGGGTCTTTGTTTTCTTGTTGCCCAAAGTAGAGCCTGGTCTCAGAATACTTTGATGTGTAATAAGTTAGGTGGCTGAACACAGTTTTGCAGGCGGTCAGCGGTAACTCGCGTGACGGCGCGTGTTTTAAATTAGACAAACAAACATGGTGGCGAAAAAAGCAATGGTACACAGACAATGATTTCTCAAAATCTACTCATTAAAATTTTGTGATATTTGGCAGAATTGTTACTTTTATCGTATTTTAAATAATGAGAACTTTAAAATGGAAGTTGAATAGACGAATTTTGTGACACATTTAAAAATTACAGTACAATTATAATATTGATTATCGAAAAACCTGTCTGTTAAAATTTGGTCAAATAAGTTTCAAATGGTAATGATTAATTACAGTAAGCTGTGTGCAAGTTTATAGGAAAATCTAATGAGCGAATTTTATGTAAACTGAGCAAAAGTGAAATTTTAAGGTTGTATTCAATCGTTCATGTTGCCATGGAAACTACGAAAACGTCACATTTTACCTGTCAATCAAAATCTTTCATCAGTATATTTTTCACTTGCCAAGTTTCAGTTTGTGAGCTGCAACCTTTCTCTTGCCATGATTTGGCAAATGACATATACTCACAAACTGCCAAAACTGTGTTCAGCCACCTTAATCAACTATCAACTAGTAGAAAAAAAGTACCATATATATGCTACCCACTTTACTGTACCATTGTTCCTCCTAATTAAATGACCTTTTTTCTTTTTTTTTCCTAATTCCACTTGACCTGTGAGTTAATTTCCTTTCTTCTTCTTATTTTTTAACCGGTAAGTCAGGTTATGGAAGTGCCTGGAAAATCAAGAGATCAATATAATCTACAAACACCATGTCACCCACTTTACTGTACACTCCTGCATTTTAATTCAATGAAAACCTCTTTCTTTCTTCTTCACATGACGTATGTTAAGTTGTCTGTTTTTTTTTTTTTGTTTATTTCATTTAAGTGAGGTTATGGAAGTACCTGGTAAACCATTGTCAGAGTCAAATGCCAGAAAATACTTCATAGATGTTGTATTAGGAATTGAATATTGTAAGTGAGATTATGTTTCTAAAGACCTTTTCTTACTGCATGGCCCTAGTTGTTCAAAAGATGGATTATGTTATCTTGTTGATAATGCAATATTGGTTTCCCCAATACTTAACCAGTGGATAGTGATCTATCTGGTGAAGGGTGCCATCCACCAAGAAACCAAAGCGTGGTGTACATTCTTCATTTTAATTTCTTTTTTCCAACATATTTCCACCTTCAGAGGAATTAGGCATGGCATCTGAGCAAATGACTAAAACAGTGAATCTGCACCTTCTGCACAAGAATACACCACAGATAAACTTTGAAATTAAAATTTCCAAACAAATTTTTAAAATACAGTGCCTTATAAACTCTCAATGTGACCCGGCCATGCACTTATATTATTTAGGAATGTTTCGCATAGACTGTTCACAGTCCCCTATTAATTTTTCCGTAAGATTGTCATGCAAGATCGAGCGCCATCTTGTGTGACTGTCAAAACTATTTAGGGGGCGGGGCCAGTTTGGGAGGAAGTGAGAAAAGTAGAGGGACTGTAATAACGTCACTGCAGCTCGCGTTCAGGAGGCGTGACAGGAATTTCATGCCTTTTACCATTCAGTAATTAAGAAACTCCGCTGGTAATGAAAATATGCCTATACGCATTTAGCATCGATTTCGCATGTTTACGAATATCTCCTTTTTAAACAGTGATTTTATACATTCTGGGCGTTCCTCCAAATAAAATTGCCAAATAAACATGCACAATGGAAACATTTTCCTAATTGAAGTGCTAAGCATGCTCACTTCACCACAGTTTAAAATGGTTAAACCTCCCAATAAAAAGCCAGGCAGTTGTTCTGACAGGTCATCTTTTTTGCATCGGTGTACCGTTAAATTTCAATTCGTTTGGCAGAAACTGTTTTACAACATTCCACTGGCTGGGCTGCTTCAAAAGCATGTTGGCTTGCTTGATTCATCTGCAAAATATCAAAAATCCTCCGTGTGTTTGCGCAAGATGTGCCTTTTGGTAGTATTATGAAAGCGTATGGAAATGACGACTAATGTCATTGACTTATCCGTGTCAGCAACCTAAACTAAACCCTTTTGAATGCAAATTAAACATCTATTGTCTAATGACCAATCAAACGCTTGCGTTGTTGGTACAACACCCTCCGTGAACGTGAGCCCCCTAGGTACATTTGAAAATCAAGATGCCCGCTATTAATAGTAAGATGCGCTGTATCTCAACAATCTCACTTAAAAATAGGGGACTGTGAACAGTCTATGTTTCGCATCACCTTTAATGGTCCAAGTCAAAAATATAACTTGAAGTCAGCCTTTGTTGTACGCTTTATTTGGGCTGTTAATTATCATGAAACATCCTTTTAACATATTAAAATAGAACACACTACTAGTACAGTAACATACTTTTCAATCATTAACCAATGGACAATTTGTTTATCCTACAGTACATTATCAAAAGATAGTTCATAGAGATATCAAGCCATCTAACCTTCTCTTGGGTGAGGATGGTCATATAAAGGTAAAATGTCTAGCATTTTGTCTCACTGATTGTTCTTGTGGAGCTGTGTGATTATTTAGCTGTTTAAATGCCACAGTATCACAGCAGCAAAGTAAACAAAAACAGCTGATTTTGATTTTGGTTTTTTAGTATGTATGAATAACATAAGCTTAGAAAATAATATATCTAAAAAGCTTGTTTGCTGGTTTAAGAGACTATCTCATGTACGTGGATATTGTTGAAAGATCCCTCTAGTCTTCACAAGTTAGGTGTCTAATGTGTCTAGTAGTACATGCAGTACAAGGAACACTGGTCTGCACAAGCAGTTCAGGTGTGAATGAGTTAAATAAAAACAGTAATATTAATAGTATGTTTTTGTAATAACAGATTGCTGACTTTGGTGTAGCTGACGTGTTTGAAGGTGATGATGCCTTGTTAAATAAAACAGCAGGATCTCCAGCATTCATGGCACCAGAATCTTTACAAAGTAAGAACTCATAACTCCTTACTTCAAATGATATGACAAGATTTTAAATTCAAGAATGAAATCACAAATTAAATGTGCATAGGATGCTTGAAAAATATTGGCAGCATTATTATACCATATTGTATTTACTAAGAGAACTCATTTGATTACTTTTGAACTGATGGTTTGGTCATAAAAGCAAACAAACTATTTTTTGTGTTCATTAGTGATAAGTCAATAAGTTATCAGTAAAAATGAGTACTCAGTACTCGATCTGTTCTGCATGACATGTAACTGCTGGCTCAATGCAAATGGGTAATGTGACAAGGTTGTCAGAAATTGTTTAAGTAGATGGCTGAGTTGTCAAAGTCAGCGGCCAGTCCAGGGATGATGTTTTATTTAAAAAATGCCATCTGTAAAGAAATGCCAAGCAGGGTAGCCGGCCAATACTAACCAAGTAGGTGGTGATTTTCGCCAGCAGTCGGCTACTTTTGACGACCCTGTGTGAAGGAGCTGATGGTGAGATAAACGAATACTGGCTACATACGTGCAACACATGCATGATAACGTTACCTGCAGATTAGGATTAGAGGCTCCTCTTGTCGCCCCCAAAAATGAGTGATAAATTGTTTATTAATTTTCTGCAGATTCACGGGACAAATATAGTGGAAAGGCTGCTGATGTGTGGGCTTTAGGAATCACTTTGTATTGTTTTGTCTTTGGCAAGGTAACGTCAAACAAGTATTATGAGTGGTAGATCAATAGGCATTTATAACCTGCTCTTGTCAATCCATGCTGATATTGACATCATCAGTTAAGTTATGGTTTGAAATCATTAATACATACATACATAATATTTTATTAGCTCTTCAGAGTCAATGTTAACGTTACAATAATAATAATAATAAAAACCCACAGTTAGACACAGAAAGCTAAACACACAAAAAATATTTAACTAACTAAAGGAGATGCCCAGATGCAGTCACCTAGCTAAGTAAGTTGATGCTTAAAACCTGCTTGTGAATTACTGAACTTTAATCAGCTTCAACATTAATCAGCTTGTGAATTACTGAACGTGGGTGCATGCATCGGCCATTTTGTAGTGGGTAGTCAGCATTAATGACTAAGAGTGATTATGATTTAGAGAAAATTGCCACATGCAGCACCTTTTGACCAGTAACCCTTAAAATACTCTGTGTAATAGATAGAGGGTACAGAGAAGGTGACTTGTATTCTTAAATATACATGATCTTTTCCTCTCAGGTTCCATTTGATGATGTTAACAGGATGGGCCTTTATGAAAAAATCAGAACCCAAGAGTAAGGCAATACTGAGTACTGAGTTGCCACTTGATAAGCACTGTTAAAACACCTGATTTCTCAATATAACCTGCAATAAGATCTAGAGTTGATGTTCATTTGTACACTGAGCACTATATGGAATAAAAGTAGACAGCAGGCTCTGATCTGATCTCTTGATCCTGAAACTCAGTCTCTCTGATCTGTTCATTCACAATGTGAGACACACTTATTCAACACCGCACTCTTTGTAGTGCCTTGTAAGTTGGAAGTTGTACTTTTTGATTTCCTGCTCTTGAGGGCCAAACAGCAATGTCTGGTAGTTCAGTACTAGTAGTTATTTTTTGTGGGGCACGTAATGACCAATCAAATGCAATTTAAGCATGCTTGCCAAAATGGGCAAGGGTCCAGCAGGAATGACAAGCTAAGAAGTCCCAGGCTAGGCCCGAAAAATAATCTGTTAGTAGAATTCACGTTTTTTGAACCTTGAAAAACAAACTTTTGATTTTAGGTAATGGTGCAACAAAAAGTTGAATAAGTGCCATCATTTTGATTAACTTGGTTTATTTTTTTGTTTTCCCATGTGCTGTTTTCCAGATTGACATTTCCAGATGAGTAAGTCTGATTGTTGATTTGTACAACTGATATTTTTCTTTCTAACAGAGGGTGAAGATGTATGCACATTATTAATTGAATGTATTTCCCTAGTTAAAAGGCAGAGAAAACTAAAGAAATGGTGCGACGATCGAATATTATCCCATGATGCACCTCGATTCATGTTATATCACTGTGTACGTGACACATCATTATCAGTAATCTTCAGCACGCGTGAAGAGAAGATCGATCGCAGTGCTTCGATGTGGATGGTTTCCAAACATGTTTCGGTTCAGCAGCTTCTGCTTTTGAGATTATCGAGTTGGCTAATGTTCACTGTGCTTTAATGGAGAATTTCAGCATTACTTTGACTAAGAAGGGTTTTACATGTATTTGACTGATCTGTCCAGAACTCCTTTGTGCGCTCGGTCGCACTGTAAACACAAAGTATAAGACTCGGCAATTGATAAACTTCGCTAGGTTCACTAGCAGAACCCAGGCCAGAGGAGAACCAAAACTATGACTGACCTATAAAGTGGTTCCAACAAAACAGCCGCTACGCTGTGAAGCTAATTATCAAAGGAGAATTTATTACAGCATCGCTCTCAAACGAGCTGAAGTTTACAACGGCAGTTACAAATAAAATTTAACCTATCGATGCGACAAACAATTCTCTGAAGCACAATCTACCCGCTACTGACTCAAGCAATCATCAAGGAAATTTCCTAGCCAGAATACTGATCTGTTCTTTTGAATAAACAAAGTTTCTGATGTTTCTTTTTCAAATTCTGAGCAGGCCTGTTTACGTTGTGCCGGCTTGCATGCTGCGTGGTACCTTTCTTTAGGTTGTTTTCGCACTGAAGCACACCATTATGCATCGCTCCTTCTTTGAATTAAAATAACTATAGACAAATTCCTTTTTAAAATAACCTCTTTGAAAATACAAAGTGATTGCTTCGGCATAAATATTAAAGCGCTCTCGAAAGCGCCCAACAGATATATTTTAATACACATATACTATGACACATGGCGTTGAAATGTGATAAAAGATTCGAAATTTAAGCCATCTTTGGTCGACAAAAAAGTCTTCAAAATGTGGGTACTTCTGGGTACTTCTTGGCCTGTACAATATTTAGGACTTCATTTTTGCTGGCGTGACGTCCACATTTCGAAGATTTCAACATATATTCCAAAAAATCTTGAATATTCATGACCTTGTTGTGGGTCACTGAACACTTTGTGATGGGAAGACTACTTAAAACCGTGAAAATAAATGTTTCTGTGCGGAAACTTCGCTCTTAAGCCATTGCAAATCGGAGAAATCATGTCAAATAACGAAATAATGTAATTTTCTTACTTTTACTGGGAATCGAGTGAGAAAAAAGCCGACGAGAAAACGACCTTATTTCAAGATGGAATCTGCCATGACTGCGATATTGCGTGATGCTTCTGGAAAAATGCATCATGGGATACTATTCGCTCGTCGTCTGGAAATGGTGCTAAAAACTAGCTTTATTGTGGCCATGTTAAGGTGTTTTTCCAGTGAACAAAGGGCCAATACCTAAGCAGCATCATTAAGAGGTTCGCCTTAAACCCTATTCAAACCAAAGGTTAAACATGATTAAAAGCTGTTTAGTTAAACATGGTTTAAATTTGTTGCTTACTGTACGTTTATCGGCGGCAAATGTAGTGCAAGCGTGTACCATGTAAAAGTTAAATTAAAACTGTTCTTTTGCAGTGTACCTTTAAATCCACAGTTAGAAGACCTTCTTTTAAGAATGTTAATAAAAGACCCCATTGAAAGAATTACTATCAAGGGAATCAAGGTTGGTATGGTAGTCAAAAAAAAAGAAATAACCAGGTGGCAAAGGGGTATTCCTTTATTCGTGATGGGACCCAAATTATCAGCGTGATGCGTGATCAGGCCCAAATTAGCCGCGTGAGGCGTGATTGGGCCTAGCAGCGTAGCGTATGTGTGATTTACTATTTTCACAACGCTTGAAATTTCCATGATGGTTAATATCATTTGAAACTAGAAGAAGAGACATTAAAAATAGATAGTTATGACATCAACTTCTTCCCATTCTTTCTCGTTCTGCGACCTCTGATTTCCTCAGATCATTGTTAATAGGATACATACTTTTTTCCGCGACTCATGATAGCTTAAAAAACATTGGCATGATGCCTGATAGGTACCCTCCTCCTGCCTCCTTTACCACCCTGCTATAAATCCAATTTGTCTTGGAGTGTATAATATAAACAGTAGGTGTTGTTAGGGTTAGAATATTGAAGATAGAGAAATCCCTCATTAGATATCTTGAAAAAGTATTATTAAAATGAAAGGGTACCAGTGCACACTGAGTTAACTTAATATTGAGTTTCTGAATGAACATGAATGACTATAGACAGGTGTATGTACTGTATTTATGCTATAGCACTAACCAAACCTTAACTTCTTCATACCACAGTTCAGATATATGAAATTCGTATACTGTAAATCCTCTATTAAGCATCACCTCCAACTCTTATTAAGATTTTCCAGTTTGTATCCTGGGTCTTTGTGAAAAATTGATACCATCAATGCATGTTTGCTAAATTTAAATACCCCCCTGAAATAAGTCCCCATCTCTATTAAGCTCCACCCCCTCAAATGTGTTTGAAATAAATAAGCCCCCCAGGGAGCACTCACAAGAGGAGTTACAGTATTCATCATTAATTTTATCTTCCTCTTTTCTGGGTATGTTACGAACCATTTTTATGGCCAACACCAATTTGGTTTACCAGCTCAATTGGTTAGAGCACCACAGCATTATCGCACAAGTCAGGGTTTACATCCCAGCAAGCCCAATTTTTTTCAAGCTTTCTTTTCACAGCAACATATTTAAGTTGTACTGTTTAAAAAACAGGCAGGAGTGTGTTGATTATAAGCGCCGAGAGTTTTTAAACCTGATTACACACGACTACAAGTTTTTTGTATGTCATGACTTCAAAATCTCTGATATAGATAAACTTATTCTTGCACTAATATTTAGATTTGGGGTTATTATTTGGTCTAAAACATTTTTCTTTATGAATTATTAATGAGTTTTTGGCATAAATAAGCATTATTTAACTGTGTGTTATATATAAGTCACTGCAGTCTGTCTGGTAGCTCAAGGTGTATTGACTGTTGTCATCTTTGTTAAATGCAGGAACATCACTGGGTTACACAGGGTGGTAAATGTCCCTTACCATCCACTGAAGAGAACTGTCCAGGCATTGAAGTCACTGATGATGACATTCAAAACAGTGTGAAGACTATTCCGAAAATCAAGACTTTGGTAAAAATTAGTTTGTTATCTTAATTTTATTCGCTTATTTTAATTTCATTCTATGGACAACAACAAATAACAACTAATGTTTTGTAACAACAGAAAGTTAGCGTTACATTCACCATCTTCCCATTTTACCTGCTAGTGACTAATCCATACTTATTTTCCATTCCCTAAAGATCTCCAAACTTGGGATGATAACAAGTATATATTAATTTACATCTAATTAACCTGATTTAGAACAAACTGACCTATAGGTTGATAACAAATAGTTTCAAAGCCTCTGTTTCAAAGTGAGGCTAAGTGCGAAGCTATTGAATATGAAAAAGATTTTTTATTTTCATGCAAATTAAACCCATTTACACAAGAAAGGTTTTGCACGTAGCCTCAATTTGAAAGTGAGGGTTTTGGGAACTTAGAAAGGGCCTTTTGGCTTTATCATCAAATTAACCTAAATTGAGGAGTAAAATAATTAGTCTGTAACATATAAAATCTATATATTTGTTCTATTTATTATTCTTTTAAGTAGTATGCATGTGTCTGGTTGGATTAGGGGAAATTAATCTTTTCTCTGCTTCTCTTTATTGTTTCTGCAGATACTTGTCAAGAGCATGCTCAAATATCATACATTTGGAAGTCAAACAAAGATTGAACGAATACGCTCCCATTCACAGCCAAACATTCAGCCAGATGTAAAGCAGAGAAAAGGCACAAAATTATAAATTTTGCACAGTGCCTACTTAACCTTTTTCTTTACATAGTACAGCTGCTGTTGCTGCGATTAATTTAGAGAAATGTGTAGCCAGGAAGAAGGTTCTCTGGCAATCTGATTAGCAACAATATGGTTTATTTGCAGAGATAATGAAAACTAATACAAAAAACAACTGGGGCCTGGCGAAAAGGGAGAAGGTAGAGGAATTGGAGTTCAAGTCATGTGAGGTATGCGTATATACCCACACAAAAAATTTTAATAAGAATGGTGGATTCTAGCAAATTGAAATTTTGACAGTTTGACATTCAAAATCCAGGCTTGACAAAAGTGGCGGAGAGTTGTTGAAATATGCTGACAGGCTCTCTGTCCTTCTTTTTCCACTGCCACCCCCTCCCCAGATTTTTTATTGACCTTGTTTTCGTGACATCCCCACCATCGACTATGGAGGCTATGTTAACCCAACCAAACAAATTAAGTCACATCAGAGCAATTTATATAGGGTAAAATACATCACATCTTACATTAGGCAAGTGTTGAATGAGACATCATTCATGCAAGCAAATAGTGTGCATCTTAGCTAAGGCTGTCAGGCATGTGACATTTATCCTGGTTTAAAAATGTTCTTAGCTTACTGTAGTGAAAGAAATGTCCTTTTAACTATGATTGTTTTTACCCCTCACTTGAATTTGTGCATTTTTTAAATTTTCGTCAAAAGAATTATCCAGAAACTGACACACACTTAATTAACAATAATTGTTAATTAATTAAGGCTGTGTATCTTATGAATAATTATGGAGATATAAATAAATTAATAAATAAATAACAATTTGCAGGTAGCACATCCACAAAGTGGTTCTTCATCTACCTGATTCCTGGTTGAATTGGGAATTTGGAAATGTTGGTTTTTGAGGAGAGGGGAAACCGGAGTACCCAGAGAGAAAACCCTCTCTCAGAGCAAGGGAGAGAACCAACAACAAACTTGACCCACATATGGCGTCGACACCAGGATTTGAACCCAGGCCGCATTGGTGGGAGGCGAGTGCTCTCACCACTGCGCCATCCCTTGCTCCCCACAGGAGGAGAGATCGAGGAGGGTGTTATCGGCAGAGGCAGATAACACCCTTCGAGATCTCCATAATTCTTCACAAGTTATGAAAGCCAAATTCAATGATTGTTTTATTATTCATTCATTCATTCAAAATAATTCCTAGTTTAAAAACATAGCTAAAACATGCTTACCACCATCGATGTTAAGTTCATCTTTGATAGTGCACGTTTAGGGTAGCAAATATCCTCCAAATAGCAGATGTCGCCCTCCAAGTTGTGTTCTTGCCATGTTTTTAGCTGTTATTTCTCCTAGTTCTTACTCTTGAAATGAGTGAAATGTGTCCCGTTTTTGTTTTCACAACCAAAACAACTCAACCTCGTCTCCAGGTCTTCTTGGTTCACAGTGCATTAACCTGCTAAAAAGCTGCACTTTTGACGGCATTGGTTCATTAATCACAAAATTCTTCCAAAGTTGGTCATCAGTAGCTGGTTATGGTGAATTATGCGTGTGCTTTTAGCCAATCAGAATCGGGAAAATATTTTGAATGAATAATAAAATATGTCTTATGTCTCAATTTGTGCCTTAGATATGGTACATATATATTCCAGAGTAGTTTAAGCAAGACAAAATCTTTCCCTGTGAGTCTTGAAAAAACTAATAGTCAAGAAATCTTTTGTTAAAACACTATGAAAGGGATTGTACATCCAAACAATGTATAATATTATTATATTTTTACCTAGGCCTTCTTTTGGACCATTATTGACAGAAAAATGCCCACTTTTTAAAATTTTTATGCATTTCACGGCTCTTGTCTTTAGTTAATATGAGCCTTCAGATAATATGACTGAGCCCACTGATAGTGGTATAAACCCTAGGCAGGCCTGCATTTATTATTGTGACCCTGCAGGCCTGCTATTAATACTAGCTGGACACAAGTCATTGTCATTGTAAACATTCTTGTCCTTGTTATATACCCTGGCATATCCATGGCTCCAGAGGTTCTTCTCCCTAGGATGAAGTGAACCATGCTTTTAGCCCGCGAAAACAGCCTCACCCCTGGGAACGTTTCATGAGGAGGAACATCTGCAACTCATTGACTGAAATTCCATACTGATGGTGTACAATCTTCTGGGATCTGGGCGGAAGTGCTGATATATTGGACGAAGGAGTAGCTCCATTGTTTTAGCTATTGTCTACGAATGACAGACAAAATGCCACAAAGGTCAAATGTAAACGAGATGAACCCTTAACAAAACAGTCTATTTTTTGTGGAATATATTTTTCTGTAGAAGAAGTATTTGAGTTTTGCTGGAGCTGGAGCTTGTTCACAGATGAACATCATACTTTACCAAAATCGACCAGGAGAAATGTGAAATTGAACACATTTGCATTTGGAACCCCATGACTACCGAATTTATTATGTAAACATTGATTTACACCATCAGTATGGAATTTCTGTCACTGAGTCACAGATGTTCCTCCTCGCAAAACATCCCCAGTGGGGAGGAGCGAGGAGAAACAGCTGTTTTCGCAGGCTACCATGCTTTTGGGTTTAGCTTCATCAGAAATTACGAAGGAAAAATAGGACCTCTGGCACCCAAGGTATTGCTTATTTGCTCATAGGGATATTATTCAAAACAATTATTACAATATTTTATCAGTAAATGTCATGAGTGTATTTACTCCACAATGTTAATGACATTGCATTAGGCTTGTAAGTACTGATCTTACTGTGTTTTTTCAATAACATTCAAACTCTAAAGTCAAAAATGTAACCAAAGGATAAGTTCATTGCTTCCATCAATCATAGTTACTACTAAACCAAACAAATATAATGGATTAAGAGGTCGATAAGGGTGACTGATGAAAACGAAAAATGTATAAACATTGGCAGGAGTTTGCATGTTATTGAAACGTGCTCAGCAGTAGGAAACAACAGAGAGTAGCATTTAGATATAAAAATGTAAAGTACAGATATAAGAGCTTTTGTTTATTATATCAGGGAATGTTAGTTGGCTTATGTAAAATTTTCCTGTATCCTCAAGCCTTCCTGTATATTTTGCCTTTTATCAGGAGAGATTATGTATAATAAGCAAACTTAGAATTTGAAGATTTTAGTAAAGTTTTGTTTTATTTTATTTTCTTATAATAAAAAGTCTTTTTTTATGTATATCATGTCTAATGATGACTCTCTGAAGGTATCCATGCCTCCCTGGCCTCTACCTTGAAAGTTCTCCTCCGAGCTATCAAGAATATTAAATTTCTTGAATTTAATTATATTGCTCTTGATACCTCACAGTTTTCAATTCCCCTGCTTAATCAGAAATTAAATAAATTTTGTGCTTCAATGCCTGCTGTTATTTAATATCTTATCAACTAATATGGTTTGTTTTAAAGACCTTTTCTTGTTCATCTTAGTTTTCAATAGGGGTATGGATATATTAAAGGACTACACTGTCCAATAGAATAAATTGCATTATGCAATCTACCATTAATATAGAATGCAAATAATGCAATTACTCAATATTTACTCAAATTTAATAATTATTTATTTTTCAACCAAGACAAATTATATTATAATTGATTTTAAACTTAACCACCAATAATCTATTGTAATCATGACCTTCCTAATTTGGTTGTTATTGAGTTACAGATCCTTAGTATGGTTTCATATGCAGTTGAACCTCTCTACAACAGCCACCTTCCGCAGACAGAAGAAAGTGGCTGTTGTAAAGAGGTGGCCATAATGTAGGGAGGTTTTAAAAAAGAGTCAATGTACAGATTTTTTGTCAACCAGGACAACAAAAGTGGCCGTTAGCACTGGTTTGACTGTAGTAAAAAACTGTTAACTTGATTTATCATAATTATATAAAAAAGTGTATACAAAGATTTCAAGATTGAAATATATTTCAAAGGAAAGGATTTGTGTGTTTATTTTGTTTGTCTCATTTACTCCTTCCCCTGCCTAGAAGGGTTAATATTGCTACAGTCAGAAAAAACAAAAATTGTTGAGGAGTTGAATTTTGGATATATAGCCATGGAAAATCTTAGTTCTTAGCCAAGTCAATTTTTTTGCCGCAGAATGATCTAGGGTTCATAAAGATTATAGTAATCCGTAAAAACAGTCTTTAAAATTCAAGGACTTTTACGGACACATTTCCTATGTTTCAAGCACTCTTTTTAGTGCAAAAAAAAATGTTAAGAGTCTATATCTTTTTTAGTTCTTCCACAACGCGAGGAATTTCATCTCGAAGGTCTTTCTGTGATTGCTCCTTTTCCTTTGCATTTCCCTTTAATAAACTAAGTTAGCATTGAAATTCAAGGGCTCAATTTCCAGCACCGACTGCAATTTTCAGGGACTTTCAAGACTTTAAATTTTTATTTTAAAATTCGAGGACATTCAAGGTCCCGCAGGTCTCCTGTATCTTAGGGTTAGCATATCTGGACTTCTTGTAACAAATAACAGTCCCTTGATGCCTAAAAAAACAACAAACCAAAGCGGTCTAAGCATTAGACAACACCCACTTACCCCTGCCTACAAAGAGGAAACTGAGATTTATATTAAATTCCTCCTATTTGGTATTCATCAGTGAGGCTAACATTGAACAATAACAGGCATTCAAAACTAAAAAATTTAGAAGAAATGAAAAACGTCTGTTCACTGTGTAGTAAAATCAAGTTTTTAAATAGCTTTATCTTGTTCAATAATGATGATTAATCAACACCAACATTGTGGATTTAATTTATATAGCTTGGTGTGCTCTTTCTGACAATGTGCCGGGTCTTAGGTTGATAATCCCGACACATAAAACGTTGACTCTTGGCCATCCTCCCTTTTTTAAAAGCTTGGTTTAAAAATAGGCAGTGATTAAAATGTTAACTGTAATCAGACATAATTTTTCTGGACAAAGTAAACACCAAAGACATTTTGCACTTTCTCCACGATATGCTTTAATGGAGCCATCTCTATAAACTCACACAGAGAATTGTCTTATCTTTAGATGCTAAGATCCATAACAATAAAAAGAGAAAACATCAACCGTAATCATTGTGGCAATAAAACAGTTCCCAAAATATTGCTAATTTAAATACTATATATATATATTTTTGCACCACAGTCCTTGCTTTTAAAATCTTTATCTTAATAACCATCATATCAGTTATAACATCTTTTTAAATATAAAGGCAAACTTTACTTCCAATAATATATTTTCAACAACCACTATTATATTCATTCTTTTTTCTTCTGCATAGTAACTTTATCTGCTGGTTCCATCGCTGATCTGCTGCATCCATTTGTTAATGGCCTCTTCTTTGCAGCTTTTCTAAAATGCTCTTGATCATCTCTTGCAGCTGGTTTGGAATTAGTAATGTTTTCTACTGATTTGTTTGGAATGTTTTCCTTAGCTGTTGTATCCAGTAAAAGCCCTGTTCCTGTCCAGTCATTATTTTCCTGGATATCAAATTCATGAGTTGCCAGTCTCCACTCAGCCTTATCTGGATCAGTAGCACCATCTTCCATAGAACGTTCCACATATGTGACATGACCAACAGCATCTACCAACACCACAGTGTTTGTCCTAAAATGAAAACCAACAATAATGCTTTAACCGATAAATGTATGTGCAGAGGCAACATGGTTGGCCATGCGATTACTATAGAACAGCTGGGTCTAGAGTACAGGTCAGTCACATTCCACAGGTCAACGGTACGGGTCACTGCTTCATCGATAAATTACCAAACCACGCAGATTCCCCTCAATCTAATAGAGCTAGGAGACACTTTTAATGCTATTCATTTATCTTTATCATGGTGACCTGTACTCAGACTTGTGGAAAAGTGACCTGTATTTTCGTTTTTGACCCATGCACCGCTATAGAACACAAGGCACCCAGTTCAATTAGTCACACCCTGACGTCTAATGGCTGGATTTGTTCTGAGTAGTCCTGAATTCAAAACCTTGGCAACCAACTGACTTGCCTCCTTCCAGCAGTTCCATTTGAATGATTAATTTTGTTTCATTTATTTATCCCTGGAAAGCCCAAAGTGATGGTCAACAATAGGGTTCTCAAATCCCACCTAATTCCCACCTTCACTGAATTTGTTAGGCTTAATAATACTAATAAAAGAGGGCAACAGGCCTACAAGACTTTTACCTAAGGCCAACATGCTGCTTGTTACAATACGCTTTTTCCTTGGCTGGGTAGATTATGCTCTGGAAGGTTCTATTTTGACTGAGAACATGTGATTTTAGCCAGTTTTACCACAGGTGGCCCAGACATAGTATGTGTCAAACGAATATGTTAATATTCACATGGACAAAATAGGATGAGTCGTCGAAACTCCCATGAACTAAAATAGTCCAAAAGTCAAAATATAACAAAACAAAGCTAGGATACCTTTAACTGAACGTATCCTTGTCTTTCCTGGCCGGTTAAAGTGGCATTTTGTTGAGTTTTGCAATTGTAGGTACTATCCACTAAAGAAGAATATTTTTAATGGCTGGCTACAAAACAAACGGACCATCTCCACACGCCTTCACGCAAAGCGCTATAAATTCAAGAATAATCGACGAATCCGCTCCAAATTGCCATGGGCTAATCTGCAGGTAACGTGTGCTCCTGCTTCTTGCTCATTGGCTCCACAAAACCCATCGCAACTGCACAATAATCGCTTGCTCATCAACAAACACTGTTGACCTTTACGCTTCGATATGACCACAAACTACCAGGTTTAATACGCGACGTGAATATTCAAGGTTAGCGACCTCCTCCATGCAACAATGAAACACTTGCTATGGGAGGGATGGTACTATTGCTTCTAAGTCAATCAATCAGGAAAATAATATTGAAGCCTTTGTAATTTTCAAAAAGATCCAATTTACCCTAGGATCACCGAACAGATACAAATCTTATAGTGGAGCTAAAAAAAATAAGCGGCAGTGGAAGATGTGAACAAGAACATGTACCACACAGTTCTCTGGACGTTTCACGTTGCAGTCATGCAAATCAACGACAAGGAAATGTACAAGAAAGTGTGCTGTAATTAGACCTATTGTTGTTTTTCACAGTTCTGGCCAAGAGCATCCAACAACTGTTTTCTGTAAAATATCTGTTTGGAGAAGCAAATTTTGCCTCGAATTTTCTTTCACTTGGCTAAAAATTTTTAGATGACCATTCCATTCATGTAAAATTTTCGAAGCTCATCTAATCTTGCTAATAAATTCCCTATGATTTTCTGAAGTTTAATTTTCCACATTTCACTCCCCAGGTTAGGCTATTTTTTGTAGTGAGTAAAAAGGAATCCTAAAATTTTTGGATTCAAAAACGTGATGAAAGAAGGAATCTGAAAAATTATCTCCTTGGTAATACGTTAAATTGCATCTAAAATTTTCGGAAAAATAATACTGATTTCCTCGTAATTTCTAAAAGACACAAGTTCCCATAGAATGGCCGAACACTGAGATACAAATTTGACAGATTTTGCCTTTTTCCTGGGCGGAAAATCCTTGTCCTCCCTCACCAGTTTGGACAACAAATTGTAGAGTCAAGAACCTATGCAAGCGGCTGGACGAACAATGTTACAGCGGCTGTGACAGCGAACGTTAGAAGAATTCAAACTTGAAAACCAAGGCCGCCCCGTTGAAAACTTACGGACGATCGCACGATCGCCTTTTGTTTTCTGGCCAAAACTAACACAGGGGACCATCGCTCAGTGTCGATTGACCTCGAAGCAATGGTACCATCCCTCCCATAGCAAGTGCTGCATTGTCGTGCGGATGTGGTCGCTAAGCTTGAATATTCACGTGGCGTATTCAACCTGATAGTTTGCAGTCATATCGAAGCATAAAGGCCAACAGTGTTTGTTGATGAGCAAGCGATTATTGTGCAGTTGCAAAGGGTTTTGTGGAGCCAGCGAGCAAGAAGCAGGAGCGCACGTAACCGACAAATTAGCCGATGGCAATTTCAAGCGGATTCGTCAATTATTCTCGAATTTATAGCGCTTTGCATGAAGGCGCGTGGAGATGGTCCATTTGTTTTGTAGCCAGCCTTTA